CGGATACATCTTTGAAAACACCTCAGCATCTCCTGTCTAGAGTAAGGGGAGGTGGAGCATAGGGTAAGGGTTACTAGTACCTCAGGGTTAAAGAACAGCATTTACATCCACTGCCTGAGGGGCTTACATGACAGGGATGGAGGCCTTTTAACATGAGCTTTGGTCACTGAAGAATGGAGACAAGCCACGATGGTGGATGGAGATCACACAACTGCAACTACAACCTGAATGTAATCATGTATATTATATAATGCTAAAATAAACCTGGACTGGTATACAAGTTACATCAGAGACTGTACAGAAATCTGATAATTAGCACTGTAGAATATCAAACACCTTTTTTGACCATGGTGTTTTACATAATTCTAAAAATATTTGATATTTGGTGATCTTTTGTTATATTTTATTCAGATAATTTAGCTTCTATTTTGTAACAAGAAAACTAATTGTAGATCAATTCCGAGTTTAACATTTTTTTTTTTTAAATGTTATTCTCCAACTCACTAACACCATCTTTAAAGATAATTAGTTCACCTTCATTGTATGTATTTCTGCAGATTTCATTTATGAGTTTGCAGAAATACATCAAAACTCTAAAGGTGTTATCTGCCAAAGGTTCGGCACCTTGCTCTTGTCTGCTGCGCTTCAGGGTCAATAACCCTTCTGAAGTGCTCCCCCTCAGCAGTACTTGCTAAAGAAGTATCACTTTCACACCCACATGTTCTGATTCAAAACCACTGAGTTGTTGACACTGGTTGTCTTCTCTAACTCTTTATAGTCTAGAAACGTTGGTATTAGATTCTCAGTGCCACAAGAGATATCACAGATGTGTGCCTTGTCATTTAGGTTGGGTTAGCCCAGAGTATTGAGGAGAAGTGAACGGGTTAAGCTTGCTCTCGCTCTTCTATCTCCTCCCACAGCTCATGCTTTAGTTATGTGTTGCTGTTTTTATGCCTCCGCTCATGCTACGGCACAGCCAGAGGCATCATGTTTTCAAGTTTGTCTGAACCATTCTAGTGGACGCAAGATCTCAGAAACACTCAAGGGTTTCTGGAGTCAAGGGTGAACTGATAAGATGTTTTTGGTCAAAGTGTAAGATCACGTGACCCCAAAACATTTTGGCAGATGCTATTTGCACACGGGTTGTATATAGCCACATTGGGTTTTTTCAAAATGAATATATTAGAATATAATTCATTTACATCCTATATTGCAACATGAACACAACTTTTCAAATATATAAACCTTTGCATCACTTTTAGAAATCCATTTTCAATCACCTGTTCCTCACAATGTTACAGGAGAAAAGTGAAAGGAAACTATTTGCATATTTTACCATCTCATTGAAATTACACAAACAGTGAGACGACAGCGTTTTTGTAAAAGCTATATTTTGTGTTTCATGTAACCTACCTTTTTACATTTGTAACCTTCACACCAAAGACGCACTGTCAACTCTAATTTGGACATGACTTTTGGAGCGTGCTTTGGTGCCAAGTAGCCTAATTCTAAGCTATACTGCATTATGTGAGGAAGGGGGTTTGGGGCAGGGTAGGTGTAAATAGCCAAATACCTGTTGCTATTCACCCGGGTGCAAATAGACACGGAAAAAATGTTTGTCCACAACTTAAGAATCCTTACGCTAATTATGACCATTTTTGCAGAAATGCCTTATCGGATTAAATGATGACGTTATTACACATTTTGGACAGACATGGATGTGCATTGCATATTGACTGAGTTGTGGAAACATACAACTGCCAGGCGGTAATTCTAGGAGCAATGTTATCATTTCAGACGGGCTTTGGGCTTTTAATGACACTTTTATCCAACTAACAATGAGGGTATTCATCCATAGGGACACACATTTAAAGTACATAAGCTTCAGATAAGCCACATTTTTTTAAGTGCTACATACAGAAATATGTTTTAATTAGTAGATGTTATTGGCCAATGCACAGTGGCTACACCTTCGGCAATAACGTGTATATCAAAGGCTGTTATGTAGACTTCAGTGATTATTAGCTAGATAACTGTACACAAAGAAACGAGTGCGGAGAACAGACTTATATTTATGCCAGTTCTTTGATAATAAAAGCTGAAACCTGCAATGTGCTCCTTTGAAGAGTTACAGAGGTAAATGCGTATACCTCTCTCCCTCTGCCTCGGTTTAAATAAAGGCATGTAATACAGCATATCCCTTAAAAACATACCTATCAGTTTGCATTTGCGTGAACATGCACTCATGCGCCTGACTGCACGTGTTTGTGTTATGTGCACTTCTTTACAGGCTTTGCAACAGGACTTGTCAAGTAGGTTATGTACAGTATCCACACACACCGCATATTGTTGAGTCGCCTCTGGCGGCTGCTCACACATCAGACAATATGAGCATCGGATGCTGACACCAATTATGTAGAAACGGTAGGAACTTGTTGCTTAACCTGACATATCAGTGGGTTGCTGTTCTGCATCATCTGTAGCTCAAGGCTTAGTAGATGTGTGTAAGGGGAAGAGGATACTAAAGCCCAACAGGTACCATGATTCCCTCTGGATGACTAAGAAACAGATGAGCGTTCATTACATTGAATTTAAAATGATATGGGAAAAAAAAAGATTACTTGATATTGGCCCCGCAGACTGGTGTTTGAACGTAACTGCTGCATGAGCATTTTATTACAATGAGTTTTGTTTATTTTAATAAAACTGAGTCAGACATTTGCTTTGGGGCAAATTGTTTTTTTTATTGAGTTTTTATAATGACATTGTCTTTATTTCATTTTCAAACAAGCTCTTTGAATCATCTCAATTAATTTAGAAGTCATAGAAAAACAAATATTAAACATTTCCTTAATTTTGGGATGACTTTGTTGAAACAAGTTTTGCTATAAGTTTTTCCCGTTATAACTGCAGTATGAATTTCATACTGCAATACTCAAACTGCAATTTCAGACTCCAATTGGTTGGGTAAACATATATTCATACTATGAAATATATTTACCCAACCAATTGGAGTTTCTCAGTATCTATGTGACATGTGTGCAAGACGTCACACGTCATCCAATCGGAGTATTCGAAGCCGCATTAGAAGCAATGTTTTCTTTCGTTGTCATACATTTGAATAGGCAAAAAACTGTGTTGTTTTGATAAATGCTTTGTGTGTGAATCAGGGGAGTCAAGTTCAGTTCAACACAACTGCTTTCTTTTTTTTTGAGGACACCTTAATCTCATTGTGCTCCCTTTTTTGCTCGTATTTTGAAGGCATGCAAGACAGCAGTGTGTCTCGGAGAAAAAAGTCTGAGGTGTGAATTAAATGAGCTGACATAAACATTTTTATGATTTATTCTAAATGTTTGAGACGTTACCGCAGGATAAAGCTGCTGAGAATACAGTTTGCCTTTTAAATAAGTCCTTTTATATTGAGTCGCCAATGTCAACATCACCACCAGTCTGCCATTTGATGTAAAATACTATGTTCTTCCCATTTAGTCCCTGCCGAGCCTGTCTAGAACACATACTTACACATGACTCCAAGCAATATTGAATTATAAATCCACTGCATTGAGGCTGGCACCCAACAACGGTACATTTTACATCCAGTGGACCACCAGCTGTCTGACAGCTGTCTCCACCAAAGTGAAGGCTAGATACTTTGACAGCATCATCTTTCTGACGTCTGGAGCTAAAATTATGAAACGCAGTGACAGACGAATCTGCTTGACTGACACTGTGGAACATCCATTGCTCTAAGTCTGGTGTCTGTGATTCTCCTTAAAATGGTATTTGGTTCCCTCCTTTTATCTTGCTGTTCATGTATTCTCTTGATCCCTTTTGTCTTCTTTGATCAACATGAAACCTTGTCTGCATTGTTTCGTAGATAAATACCAAGAAACATAAACAATACTAGTTTGATTTAATCCATTTATTTCCAGCTTGGCTCTGACTCAATCCCTTTTTTTTCAGAAATGGTAAATTGCATTCCTAAAAATCCTATATTTTTTAACCGTTATGCTTTTTTATCATGATTGTTACTTTTTTCTCCACATAATACAAAGAACATGCTGATTTAATTGTAAAACATTGTAAGATGGAGGAGGCAGAATGTTTTTGAAATCCCCAGTTACGGAGAATTATAGCTCGATTTTTCTCTTGACTAAACCTTTACATTTAAAAGCTGCAATATATGGACTTCGGCTACAAATACATTCCATATAATATTACCTAAGGTTTGTTTAAACTAAATAAAACGCAATTTAAAAGTGGCATTGGTCAGAGCATTCATGTTTCTGTGAAAAAAGAAGCTTTCTCCCTAAGGAGGGGGACGTGGGGTTAATGTCTAAATCTATCTGTTATATGCAACAGTATTTTTTTTTACTGCACATATTTTATATTTTATTCCATTCTATTTCAATGTAAATACTGCCTTATTTTATTTATAGTTATTTTACTATATTTTTGCTTATTTTTTTGTATTGTTATTAATAGAATAGAATGGGAGGGATGAAACCCTTTTTAATGGTCACACATGCAGAGCACACAGCACACACAGTGACATTTGGCCTCTGCATTTAACCCATCCTAGTACCAGGAGTCTAGTACTAGGAGCAGTGGGCAGCTATTGTACAGCACCCGGGGAGCAATGGGAGTGGGGGGGGGGAAGGGGGTTGTCCGGTGCCTTGCTCAAGGGCACCACAGCAGGGCCCAGGAGGTGAACTGGGACCTCTCCAAGTAGCAGTCCACACTCCATATTTAGGTCTGTTCGGGGACTTGAACCGGCGACCCTACGGCTCACAATCCAAGACCCTACTGACTGTGCCACTACCGGATTATAGTGTTCTTAAAATAGTTTGCTATCTGTGTTTTTAAATGTTAGTTTTACTTTGATGTATTCACCACGACACCAAGTCAAATTCCTCGCACGTGTCAACCTACCTGGTAATAAACCTGTTTCTGAATCTGATTCATGGACTCTAAAGTCTCTTGTATCTTGTCTTCAACAGTCTGCACTTCCTGGTTTACCACACGGAGGAGGTCCACGACGTGCTTCGAATCTGGGACGGGCCCCAGGAGGGAGGGGTCCTCCTGAGGGAGCTGAGCGGCTCCTCGCTGCCCCCGGACAGCCACAGCACCTTCAACACTGTCAGCCTGCAGTTCACCACAGACTTCTTCACAAGCAAGCAGGGCTTTGCTATGCAGTTCTCTGGTGAGGATGAAAAGAGGGATTAAGGAATAGGAAAGGGTGTAAATAGAGAAAAAACATAACAAAAAAAGCCTCTTTCATCATGGTTCTTGGTATTATTATTATGTATTTATGTCAACAAGGACCATGCATACAAATACATTAATTTCAGAAAAGAGAAGAGATGAATTATGCCAGATTTGAGCTAATAGCTCATTTCCATCTGCAGTCCTTAGGTAACAATCAACAAACACATATCTCTATCACACAAACAATTATAAAACGACATGATTTAAGTAAAGGTCAATAAAATAATACATAGTACAGTTCAAATATTATATTAAAATACAGTTCAAATTCAGATTACAGTGTAATTAATGTTGGCATAACTGGTTGCTTAATATCAATTTGTTTGCGCAATAAGAGAATGAATTAAAGTCAGTACAGGTTTTAAGTTCAACTGGAAGAATATTCCAGTGTTTGATGGCCCTAAATTAAAATGCAGGTTGTGCAAAGGCAGTGCGCTTCAGAGGGACGGTTATAGATCTTGAGTTTCTGCAACTCTGCTCACGGCGAAGCTGAAACAATTATTTTCATGATTGAGCATCTTCTCTATGTCTTCTTCAGTCTCCACGGCAACCTCCTGCAATGATCCGGGCCTGCCCACCAATGGGACGCGCGGCGGAGACAGCAGGGAGCCCGGGGACCATGTGGTGTTCCAGTGTGATCCTGGCTACGTCCTGCAGGGGGCCAACAGGATCACCTGCACAGAGATCAATGGACGCTTCTTCTGGCAGCCTGACCCTCCCACCTGCACAGGTATATCATCAGTGAGGGCTCATCAGGCTGAATGGAGTATATTATCAGAACTTGTAGGGCTCATATCAAATCATATCTTGGTATGACGCATTTCACAAGCACTCTTGTCAAATCACATGCATCTATAATTATGGAGGTTTGCTTTAATTCAATAATTACCACTGCTGTAATTACACTGGTGTTTTGGATTACTCATCTTAACGTGTAATTAACTTTGTCAAACAGAACATACAAACTTTGAATGTTAGTCTTGCATACAGAAGAAAAAGAATATGTAACGCTCACAAGATCTAGCTATATCATGAATAATCTCAATCAATCTCAATCTTTATTTATTTATATAGCACATTTGAAACAACCTCAGTTGACCAAAGTGCTGTACAGGCAATAAATACAATATCAAATAACACAATGGGAGTAAAATAATAAAACAATAATTCTAAACATGATAAAAAGCACAATAACTAGAAACATATAAAAACACATACAAATGTAAACATGTTATGTTCAACTAGTGTTAAAAGCCAGTGCAAAGAGGTGAGTGTTTAGCTGAGATGAAGACAAAAAATGGTCTTGTCTGATCAAGTGTGTCGTTAAAATATATCGCAATTCGCTACAGCTCAAAAGTTGATATATAAGTATAGAGTAAGAGTATTAAGAACATGGACTACTTGCAGTTTTATATATACACACAGAAACCCCATTCTTTTGGAAATATGTTATACTTTTGTGGGTAAACTTTATGTTTTATAAGATTTAAACAATATTATTAGTTATGACAGAAGATAATTTATCGAAGTTGTTTTAATGAAATCAACTACGCCTTACACCTTCCATAATGCAGTATACGATATCACTTCACTTGCTGGTCTGAAACAGGTAGACAATAAAGATTCCTAACTTGATTACCTAACAGACTTCTTACAGTAAGTGAATCCTAAGTGGCAAACCCGATTGCCTCGTTCCCTTGACGATTCCTGAAGCCACTGCAGCAGACAGAGATCTGATTACCCTGCCTCTCAATAGAAACTCAGACCTCCACTCTTTTACTGTCTTTGTTTAATATATGATCACACTTAGTGCCCTACAAAACCATGTGAATTGACAATGGCAATTAAGACCTTGTAATTAGCTGCCTTGTTTAATTAGTTCTTAGCTTAATTAGCTTGATATTGTTTGGTGAGGGGTTAGGAAGGACAGTTGTCTGACAGTCACAGGTGAGATTATAGTGAGTGGTGTCAATGGGCTTTAGCTACGTCTTAATTAAGCATCTGTCACTAAGACTTCATAAGGGGAAGCAATATACGTAATAAATCAGGACACTATGATTTACAGTTTAAACAATGTATCTGCTACTTGGAAGTGGGTATTTCATAAAGCCTTTGGAAATGCTATGTCACTTTGCATTTATTTGTTTTTGTTGAATTTTTGTTTTGTGTAACACCTTTTTTTTAACCTTTTTTTTGTCAATGCTGTAATTGTTTTTCCACATTAGCATATATTAGCATATGGCTAATCAGTTAATTGAGAATCAGCTTGTTCAAGAATTAACTTTGTAAGCATTTTTATAAAAAGTAATAAAGGCAGAGTAAGGCTAATCATTAAAATATTCAAATTGGAAATGAGATTGAACACCATCATAAGATGTTTGGATAGCAGAATGTTTTTTATGTTAATACACAGTGGCTGAAAATGGGGGTTTTAACTGTTTTAATAATTCTAATGTATTAATTTCGATCTTTCCGTAGCTCCATGCGGTGGGAACCTGACGGGTCCTGCTGGTCTGATTCTGTCTCCGGACTATCCCGAACCTTACCCCCATGGGAGGGAGTGTGACTGGACAGTTTCCGTCACACAGGACTATGTCATCGCTCTTAGCTTCAACCAGTAAGCTTCAGTAGCACACCATGCAAACACTATATGAGTCCATTTATGTTCAATAATATGTCATCCTAGTATATCAAACAATAACCTTATTATAACTCCTGGAGCTACAAGTATTAAATGTCACCTATTATGCAAAATCAAATTGTTCATGTCTTTTCTACATCAACATGTGTCCCCTCTGTGTAAAGAGATTCTGAAAGTTTCAGGAAAAAATATTCACTCTCTTTTTGTCCTGATCCATTTATATAAAAACCTGTCTGAAAATGAGCTGATCAGATTTTGGCCACTTTATGATGTTATAACGATTTTTTGGCTTGTGTAACCATTAGCCAATCACCAACCAAGGTAACCCCCCCCCCCCACGTTATCACCTGAATCTCCTCCTAGAGCACCATTGTGTTCTTTTTAACCAAATATCTCTCAGAGGGGCGTGGGGAGGGGCTCCTTATTTTCATCTAAAGTAACAGACAGCACTTTTGAAACAGGGCTGAAACAGAGGGGATTATGGGATGCTGCAATGATCTGTTCGGTATTTCGAGCCAAACACTTCAGAGACATGTTTTGTATATATCTGAGACCTATAATATATTGATGAAAAACAGTATAATAGGGGATCTTTAATGTAGCTTCTATTCGTGATTTTGTGTTCCCCAGGTTCAGCTTGGAGCCTAGTTATGACTTCCTACATATCTACGATGGGCCGGACTCCCTGGGCCCCCTGCTGGGTAGTTTCTATGGCACAGACGTTCCCGATCGCATCGAGAGCAGCTCCAACACGCTCTTCCTGGCTTTCCGCAGCGATGCTTCCCTCAGCAGCAATGGATTTGTGCTGCAGTACAAAGGTGGGAACCTCTTTGGTTAGAGGAATGAGTCAAACTAAATAATACAATATTTGCCTAATTGGCAAATAGAGCTTTGGGATACTAAGACTTTATATATCTGCGTGTGCATGTGTAGGAGTTTTTTATTCAACGTTTTTCATCTCCAGTGTCTTAAGATTCTGAACAAAACTGTGAAATTTAAATAGTATGTGAAGCTTTATCCCCTTAACAATTCATGTTTTAGAATTCTTCCGCTGGCAGAGGGAGAATGGATTTAGCCTCTCTGCTTATCGACCTTGCAGATTGTTTCTTTTTAACTTTCTCTTGTGTCAAGTCCAAAGCGAGTGAGATTAGTGGTGTGAAAATTGCTTCAGAGAAAGATTGGGGTGTGCTGCTGCGTCCTGATCAGCACCCTCCCTATGCTGCTCCAGTCTGCTCCAGCGTCACTATTGATCTGTACCTCCTCTAGTAGCCGAGTATCACAAAGAGTTAGGAAAATGAAAAGCCGACAGCATGTGTGCTTATGCTCTTTTTGATCAGTGCTTTGCAGCTGCACAAAAGTCTCCTCATAAATTACAGCAAACAACGCTTTGTTGTCTTGTGTCTCTGCTCAGCTGACCGCAGCATGTTGTTCGGGCGACCCACATTTATTTGCTCGCACAAGGTAGTATGTCCTGCTCACACACCACAGAATGATCACTGGCATCCCTGACACATACACAGCCAGCTGGTTTAAGGATTACACAACACATCTGTGCTTTCTGCTATTGTTTCAGCCTCACAGGGAAACGCCTCAGTGCCTGTATGTTGAAGCCTTTCCCTAACAAATATACAGATGCTATACAAGCTCTAAATTAGACCGGGCTTCTTCGTTAAGGGCTTTGCGCTGAGAGAACAGTGTTAAATCTTCCTAAATCTCCCAGACTCAATTAGAACTGTTTAAGGTATCAGATGTTTAACCAATTTCAGATCGACCCTGAGCTCTCAGTTTCTTGGCTGGTGTCGAGGTGGAATTTGATCTACTGTATATAAGTTTCAACTGTTTTCAAAACACTACCTGTTCATTTGTAAAACACATACAAATGGAGTGAGACAAAGTGCTTTGTTTAGACACTGTTACAGAACCTACCCCTTAACTCACTCCCAGCTATATTTTCTGCCGTGTGTGATAAAGTGTGTGATATTGTATGGCCAATCTGGTAAAGCAGATGGACCCAGTGTGTGGCTCCGAGAAACTCCTTCTCCCCACTTCTAATTCTTCACTCTAATGAACCATAACCAAATAATACATAAATTACCTCCTCAGTTTTAGACAAACAACATGGCAGAAAAGCGTGTTTGGCGGCTGGTTTGGGTGTGCTTGTTGAGGAAGCGGCATGATGACGAGTTGGCCCAGCTAGTATTTGGTCAGCCCGCCACTGAAAATTACATTACACAATCTGCCTGAGGTGCTGTCAGCCTCTTTACCAAGCAATCGTTATGTCTTTCTGTTTCCGTGTCTCAGGCCATGTCTGATTAGACTCTCCAGGGAAATATGTGGGCGGAAACATACCATGGCTGAGCCAGATTTAGATAACACACACATACACAGATATGGACACACATTCTAGCACTCACATCTGTCTAATCCAATCCCTTCACAAACTCCTGGGTTAATTTTCACTTCGCATCAGATCACTTAAAATCCTTTTAGTATTTACCAAAACAGATGATGCCACTCGCCCACTTTCTCCCACACCTACAAATGTCCCGAGGCAAAGGCTTGTTAAACCGTCCATCTCCATCGAAGTGACCGACCTTCTCACCACTAGCTTGTGTTCAGGACCAGTCCACAACTTAGGCCCGCTACATCCATCACGCCTCCGCTGTCTCCTGCCAGGTGTGCTGCTTTAATGGAGGAGGGGGCGAGGGAAGGGTTCAGTTCTACATCGGCCGGTGAAAGGGCACAACCTGTCTAGAACAGGCGCCCCCGGGGACACACCGACAGACCACCTGCCTGGCCCCCGCTCTCTGTTCGGCCATGAAGGGCAGCCTCGTGTCTGGTCAGCAGGTCCCCATCTTTCAGCTTAGACACTAGGCATTCATCCAAGGTGCTTCATGCACATTTTGTCACTAAATCATTAGAAGTTTACATCTGCACACACAGAACATTTGATTTAGGATATCATTTTCTTGTTTTAAAGCAAAAAGGGAGTTTCATTGAACACATGACAGGGTTCTTACAGTCATTAAAAACCTGGAAAAGTCATGGAAATTCAAAATGCTAATTCCAGGCCCTGGAAAAGTTATGGAAAACAATATTTTTCCCAAAGTTTTGGAAAAGTCATGAAAATGTAGCTAAAGTGGCATCAAATATAATTTATATTTTATCAAATCGCCAAAATAGTAATACTATAATGATAATAAATACTGTATGGTATAGTAATGAAACGTAAAATGGCATTTAACTGACGAGGTATTTTGCTGGTGAGAGATTTGAGTTGCTTTAGCGTGTAGAAGCTAAGCCTACTATTTGATTTGTTTTAGATAGGCACGACATGTTTCATATGCAGACCTTATTTTCCTGTTCCATGTTAAAATAAACCATTTTCAGTGGTACCGCTGAGAAAGAGTAATTTTTTTGGTCATGGAAAATTAGGTAAAGGTCATGGAAAAGTCATTGAAAATCATTGGTGAAAAAGTGTATGAACCCTGACATGAGGATGTTGATCATAGTGCGTTTTGAAACACCTCTGTAAATCGCAGATGATGAATCTAGTAAAAACTAATATAAAAACCACCTCTAACATGCTTTTTGGTAAAGGTCAACACTCAGCTCTTCCTGGCAAAGTAAGAACATCGTCACCCAGATAGGTAATGTCATCAACTGGAATAGCTACTATTTGCATGAGAAAGTAGTACAGTACATCATAGCATTCCTTGCCAGCATCCCAATTGACCTTTACACAAGGATGCTTTTGAAGTATGAACATTGTTTGAGTGTTTATTTTAAAAGTAAGCTTTTAGCTGGTTGATATCCAGATTATGCACATTTCTCTGAGGTACTGTAATATCGTTGAAGTTGCTGAAAACATTTAGCTCAGTTTCCCTTTAGTATGTGTGTGTGCGTGTAAAGTCATCAAATATTGAAGTTAGCTGTGAGACTTCAGCGAGCTGTGTTTAAGATTGAGCTAAATTGCTTTGGGCATTTTTCCTGTGTTTATTTTAGCAGTGAGGGAGTGAAGTGTGCCAAATTGACAGGCCTCCTCTAACGTGCACATTTTCCACCTGAGAACAATGTGATGGTAGATTGAGCGAGACATCTTTCTCACGACCTCACGAGTGGTGATTGATATGTGGTTAGATACAGAGTGTGAGTGCGCTGAGGCTGTGTGTGTGTGTGTGTGTATGTTCGCAAAAGAAAGCTTGCGTATGTGCATTGTCTTCTCTAGTTGACTGCACAGCCAAGTGTTGTGTGAGAGGCGGTTGTGTGCAGTCAGCAGACCTTGGGCCAGAGCAATGCCACTCTCAATCAGCTGCCTGTCTGTCTCCTCAGCCATACATACCTCAAGCAGCCACAGATGAAAGGGCACCGTCAAGGGCTGGAGAGAAAAGTGGCAGTCAGTGAGATATATTTACTGAGAGAGGAAAGCACAGGGTAGCGGAAAACCGGGTATAGAAAGTGACAAAGGAAGAGATCTGAAAATATCAGGATCCTCAGGCAAAAAAATAATTTCTATTCCATGATCACCGCTGCAGCTTGATGCAAAAAAAACATCTTATTGAATACCTGCTCACTTTCCTTCTGTTGCTGATTTTCCGCCGTGTTACCTCTTTCCACAGAGAACCCCAGGGAGTCGTGCTTCGAGCCGGGCGTGGTGCGCAATGGGACTCGGGTGGGCGCCGACCTCAAGCTGGGCTCCACCGTCACCTACCACTGCGACAGTGGCTACACACTAGAGGGAGACCAAACCGTCACTTGCATCATGGGGGGAGACGAAAAGCCGAGCTGGAACAAACCCAAACCCATCTGCATCGGTAAACACCGTCGTCTGGAGACCGTTGTTAGGAACACCATTGCAATCATATCTTTAAAGATTCCTCACATGTTAAAATGCAAGCATGATTATGTGGTGTTAGCAAACACATATGTCCTACAGGTATATGTGTAGAGCTGTGTAGATGATGCTAATGCTAATAGATGTGAGGGTATAGCTTCAATTGAATCTGCAGTTTGAAGAGAGGCTCTCGTTTTGCATATCTGCTCCTCACACACACACACACACACACAAATCCTGCATAAACCTGTTTTCTCCCCTGTTCTCTGACATTTCCCTGACACCACTGACACACGCTGTGCATATTCCCCTGGAAAGCTATAAAAGATCCCTGACACCACCAAATCCGGCTCTCGCAGTGAGAAGCTGCAGGTGCACATACAGGGCACATTTTCACACATTTAACATACATGAGATCAGCGAGTGCTCGAAAAATGCAGGCATTCGCTGGGCATTTTAAGCAGGAGAGGGACCTCATCTTAACCCAGACTAACCCAGTGGGACACTTGGAAAACATTGCAATTTCACTCTGGCAAACACCAGGGACATATGCCACCCAGAACCCAATCAGACAAGAAAAAGTAATTTAGGAGTAATGGAAGAGAGGCGATGGAGAGGCGGGTCCGCCATGTCTCTTCATGTCTCGTCTCTGTGTCTCTCTCTAGCTCCGTGTGGTGGACAGTACTCGGGTTTGGAGGGAGTTGTCTTGTCTCCTGGTTTCCCTGGCAACTACAGCCGTTCAAGAACATGTCTGTACACTGTGGTGGTGCCAAAGGATTACGGTAAGCCATGAAAGAGCACTGAATTACTAAATGTGTATTGTTGTGCATATGTGGGTGTGTGCTGGTGTTTTATTAAAATGCAGTTATTATACAATGCACAGAATGCCCTTATCCGGCTCAAACTGTGCTCAAGTGCCTCATTATTTCTGGATATTTGTCCACTGTGGAAACTTAGGAAAGTAGGACGGAAACTGTTGTGCTCTTTTTCCACACCTGAGAAATCTTGGACTTGTTGTCAGATATGTCGGAGAAAACAGCTTTGTGAAAAAAATGTAAAAGAACCCACACACACCGTTTTCTCAGCATGCATTTAAAGTGTTTCTGTGAGAGGTTGACTGAATGCAGGTGTTTGTTTATATATATTTTCCTCCACATTGTAGAATCACACAGTGATGGATAGTTTCCATTTTTGTCTCATTGCCATACACACATTTTCATATTACTTTGGTATAGCAATTTAATCTGTATCTTACACATCAGGCATACAAAATGTCTGTCTCAGGCACAAACACACACACGTATACAAACACACACACGCATACCACAAAATAATTGGTGTCTGGAAGATTCACAGTTTCTGGATTTTTGCTACTTTTTGGCATTTCCATTTTAAAGGTCACAGCTTGCTTCCAATATGTAATCTGATATTGAAGAAGCCACACATTATTCAGAAAGAAAAACAGTGAGGGAGTGTGACATCGCTCAAACATGCAAACATGTAACACTTACTTGCCCACAATGTGTCCCTGCTTGACTTTCTCTCCGTTTTCTCTCTCTTTATCTACCATTTTTTTTCCTTCTCCATCCAGCTCTTTAATGAGTTATCAGCATTGTTCCGCTCTCAAGGGGAGCTCAAGTCCTATCATTGTTAAAAAAAAGCACCAAGCAGCAGCGACGGGCATGTGTTATGGGTGCTAAATTTAGGATTTGAATGCATAGGCCATGCACCCATTTAGAGGTCTGGCTCGCTTAAACAATGTGAGGGCACCCATTCTTCTTGGACCCTCTCGGCAACATATTTCTCTCAATGGAGTCAAAGGGAGAGGAGAAATAATTAAAGTCCACTTTTGGCATTTTCCTTGAAAAAGACACACTCTGTCGTGCACATTCACAATTGCTCTCGCCTCCATTCACTGCCGCTTCTCATTAGGCTGAAGCAACCGCCCTAATGATGGGCTATTTTCTCCAATGCAGAGGACAGGGTGGGTGTCACTGAATCCTATCATAGAGATGAAGAGGATATATGGGGAAGAAAACCCACTCAAGATGAGAAGAAAACAAACGCCGAGTCATTTTCAAGAGTAGCTAAGAAAAAAAAGGTCCTGCCGTCACACCCTATAGAAAGCATTATTCCTTCGTCCCCTCTGCCTCATCCTCTCCATATTTCTCTTCAACCTGTAATATACAAGTATAATAGACACGGATTAGATGTGAAAAGGCTGAATATGTTCTTCCAATAGCAGTAGAAAGGGTGAGTTGAAAGGATGACGGCTCCAGCGTGGAGCTTGAGCTGCACATTGTACAACAGATTGGCTGTCATTACCAAAGCTTTTCATCTACTGACAAGCCATCAAGCCCAGACAGGACTGCTGATCTAGCCGTGTAATATCATTTTTGGTTGTGTTGTCGTAACTGGCAGTATGATCCACCTCGCTTTAAAGGAGACATTGTGATTGAAAGTGCTGTCGGTAATATTCTTTTGAATGAAGATACTAAAGTTCTAAGTATTGTTTTAGACTATTTCAAATTGAGTTTTCTATGTTTCTGTGATGCAGTCCCTCTTTCAAGCTAATTTCCTTTTCCTCTGAAGTCAATTTTCTTTCCATTTCTGTCTTTTCTAGTGGTCTTCAGTCAATTCGCCTACTTCCAGACTGCTCTGAATGACATTGTGGAGGTTTATGATGGGGCGACACAGCACTCCCGTGTTCTCAGCTCCCTCTCTGGAGCACACACAGGTACTTCAGCACACACACACACACACACACATATTAAAATGCAAGAGATAACTCGTTCATGCTTGTACAGCCTTTGTTTCATATTCAGCACCAGTATTTAACAAATCAGCAAAGGTAATTGGACTATTTCATCTCCTGGTCATTATTTTTCAACATGACGGCAGACTAAATGAAATGTTGTCTTAGCCTTATCCCTTTCATAAGGATCCAGTTAAACTCACAGACAAATTGCTGACACAGGCAGAGTGGTGGGGGCTGCAGGTGGGCTCCAGTGAGCTGTAAAACAATTCAGCGGTGACAACAACAACTAAAAGAGTCACAGGGATAACATATCAGCAGACAGGCCCGAGAACCCTCGCATGCACATACACCTGAATTTGTATTAGACAAACACACAGCGACTCTCAGGATAACTGCACATACTGTTGTGAAGTCAAACGGCTGTGCTCAAACACAAACACTTGCATGCTGGGTTTAAGCCAGGGAAATAACAGGGACTTTTTCTTCTATCCCTTTCATCAAGTACAATAACTGCAGCCTTAACACTTGAAATAAAGACACCTACTCACAGCTGATTTAACATTAGCGCAGCTATCACAAATAGTGCATTACAACAGAAATGCATTATTGTTGGGTTAATACTTTAGCATAACTTTTTATCTTACAGCTGTTTATTCATGCAACAAACCTAGCTTCTTTTTTTAAATCAGTACCATAGTTGTTGAAATACCTTTATTGTTTTATTAAAAAACATTATCTAGCACACACTAAATGAAAAACAACAAAAAGTGAACATTTATATAATTTCTGATTTGTTTTTCACAGTTTACCATTGAAAGCAATTCAGTTGATTTAAAGTGGCACAACCCTGGCCACATCATTTCAAACCATAGTTAACATGTTTCTAGAAATGGTGTCTCTATACTAGCTCAAAGCCCAAACCGTAATGTACTTTTATTAGTGAACGTAACTATAATTAAAGTGTTATCCTTTATCTTAACTAGTCCCTAAATTAGGTCAGATTTGCCTAAATATCTCTCTTTTGCAAAAAAATTGGATAGATTGGATTTGAATGAAGCAATAATGTAAGAGAAAAAGGATACCTGTTGTAAGGGTCAAAGTAACAAGGTGAAAGAGACCATATGATGTATTTTGCAATTGCGTTATAAAATTGCGGATTCATGTGATAAATGCCACAGCTGTATTGATTGGTTTCTCAATAAATAAATAGAAGCCTGGATAGGGGATGTTCAACCTTTCTGGAGTGGTGCAGTGGGAAGGTGTGTGAGTTGAGGGCAGCTCTCCATCTCCACCTGCCCTAGCCCTGTGGCTTGACAAAAGCAAAAATGATTACTCTGCTTTGTGCCCAGAGCAGCTTCAGAAAATCCAGTTTACAGCTCAATAAACAGGTCGCTATATTAACTGAGGACTCCTGGCGGCAGGTTCACAGAGCTCTCTAACCAGGCATGGCAGAGCAGAGCTGACACACTTTGGCAAGGGAAGAGAGACTTTTAGCCCAGCAGGCTGAAGAACTAGTGCATGCAGGCATAACTTGCATGAATTAGGCATAATCCAGAAGTGTGTACCTGGCATCCACCATACAAATACACAGGCGCTAACATATCGACTAACATACATGTTTGCAAACTTAATGAGCATGGAATTAACCAATACAGTCTAACAATGCAAGCAGTCATTATAAGCCGTAAATACATTACCAGATAATTTATATTTCAGTGGTTGGCGCAATATTATTTGCTGAATCACATACGCATATTATTGCATTAAACTAGGCTCAGTACAGCATATAACAGTATGATTTAATTACTGTCACATTTGGTAAGGAAAATAAGTTGTTTTTCAAAGAAACAATGCAATGAATGTTCTTTTTGGACACAGACAGAATAATACTTGAAAAGTGAGAGTTGAACAAGGAAAGATTAAAGGTAGGAATTAGAAATGAAATGGAAACGGCCAGTAGAAAAAGAAGGACAAAAGGTCTGCATCAAGAAATCAATGAGATTTATCTAAATGCTAATTTTGACTTGATTAAAAGGAAAAAGGAAATGGAATGCTAAAACATGTTGATTTCACATCATGTGATCCCCACCGGATGTATTTGTTTTTTACTTGAAACAATTTGAGTTAACAGCGGTATCATTGATCTCTGACATTGTTTTCAATGCTGTTTCAAAAACTCTTCACACTGCCACTGAATGTTGGCCATTGCCTTTCAGCCAAAGTCACATCTGTCCTTCCAAGTGTTTAATATGCCAGCGTAGGGATCATTTCAGGGGAGAGCGGTTCAGGGGTTGGAGGGTGGCCAAAGGGTTGATAAGTAACATGCTGACACATGTTTGATAAGACTGGATGAATACCTGCCCGCACTGCACATTATGAAACACGTTCACCATGAAAGCACACAGCACGGGTGTCTTCTAATAAACTACCCAGCATGTCTTGGGGATCCTACAGTGGAACTCGAACAATCCTGGCAATGACATCAATGAACTATGCCATCATAGGACACTGCACTTAAAGGCGCATTAATATTCAGACACTAAAACATGCAAGCACAGGGTAGACGAACACACACACACACACACACACACACACACACACACACACACACACACACACACACACACACACACACAGACACACACAGTCAGACACACAGATGTTGCCTCTGGGGTTAAGCATGTCTGCCTCCCCACACAGTGTGACAGCAAGCAGACTCAGAGTAATGAGCAGCGCTGCAGAGAGCCAGTCAGCGGCACACTGAGAGAATCAGAGATGCTCACACCTTGTGTCATGTTCTACGTCAGTCAACAAAACACCACAGCAGATACATCATGGGGAGTTTAATTACACAATGTGCTGATGATGATAGTAGGAGATCATATCAGTGATGCAGTTATGAAATATGAGCATTAATAGTAAGATATTTTGATACTTTGAAGGAAGTATTTCATAGTGAACATAAAGTACTGAAATTGTCCATTGACCTCGTAGGGCAAAACAAGCTGCATTTTAATTACATGACTAAATCCATACACAAAAAACAAAGATAATACAGAAAAAGCTATTTCTGAACACTTATTTTAAATGCCATTTACAACAACAACAAATAGAAACCCAAAATAACAAATTTCCTGTTTCAAAACTTGCTACAATAACACAAACATGAAAAAAAAAAGTATTTTAATTTGTTTTGTAAAGCACTTTGAATTGTCGCGTACAGAAAAGTGCTATATAAATAAACTTGCCTTGCCTTGCATTGCCTTGCCTAAGCCCTGGTCAGGTGACATTATTGTCTCGCGCACAGTATGCTGTTGGCACGTTCCTTTTGTAGGCAGAGGCTTGATTGTGAAGGGCCTTGCACTGCAGGTAGTTAACCCACCCCTCAAGTTTGCTGTTGTATACACAGGCAGTGAAATAGTACAATCAGGGGGGTGTTGATCTCGGCAGTTGGTTATACAGCACTTAAGAGTCTCGCTGCATGATTTCAAACCAGCTTCCAATTCTGTGTTAATGATTTGTTAATTAGGGTTGTGAACCGAGGGTAACAAAAGTCCATCTGGTGCAAAACAAAGAAATGAACCTGAAATAATAATAATTCTGAGCTGGGAGAAACAAACACAAGTTGAAGCTTATCAAATGTAGCTTCAACTGTAATCTCCCTGAACAGTACTTGATGTGGGCAGATTGTGGTCAGAGGCTCAGCTGTAACACACTAGTATCAGTGGCAATAATCAGGACTTCATTTGGTCTCAAGAGGCTGAAGGAAATTATTTGCCATCCAATAAGCATAGCAAATACACGTAATCCTGTATGACAGTAAAATATGAGGATAATCTTAGTAAAAGCAATTCATTTGCATATTAGGATTTGCTTGGTATACCTCAGGAAGCCTTATTAGCATGTTGTATTTTTGTCACAGTCGGTCCATCTGTGAATGTCTGCCAAGCACTGCTCTAGACTAAACAGCAGATCTTCACAGACGTCAGATATCCAAACACTGGTTTTTCCACACTTTATTGCCATGCTGTACAAGACCATAGCTTCTAATTATATCCATATTCAGAGACCTGCATGATGCCCTACTTCACACAATTATTAGCAGCTTTTCTTACCACTTGAAAGAGTAATGCTGCACACACAGATAGACTGTCTAAAATGCACAAATACATTTTATTTCTCCAGACGGATTTGGAAAATAACAGTTATTTAACAATGAAGCGGATTAGATAGTTTACTTATTTATTCTCAGGGACAATACAAATGGATATGTGCCTCTGCAAATACAACACAAAACATATATAACTAGAACAGGCTAAAGCAAATCACATCAACAGCTGCACAAGAAACCAACCTTAGAGTAGAGCAGCATCATTAAAAGAAGGACACGAAAGGGAAATTAACACAAAACAATGTTAAGCATACAATCAGCACAAACAGTTTAACATGACAACACAAAATCAATAGCAATTAGGTTGCTAGACACAGGTTATGTGACCACATAAATATAAATGGAATGCAGCACTTTGCTAAAACGTTACAAACTCTGTTTTTCTCTTTTCTCTTATTTCAGGCGAGTCATTGTCATTAGCAACTTCCAACCAAATTCTAATCCGCTTCACCTCCAAAGGCCAATCGAGCTCCAGAGGATTCCACTTGGCCTACCAGGGTAAGTGTTTAACACAGGCACACACACAAACAAACCCTACTGTTGTTTTCCTCCTGGATTCCCTCTGCTCTAACAGCCCAATTCCCCCCCCATAATAGTTGTCTTGCTTAGTGAATTCCAAAGTATTCACCTTCAGCTACTATTTTAGCTGTGATGTGCTTGTGGGTGTATGTGTGTGTCAGCAGCAGTGTGTGCTCTGAAGCATTAACACTGCAGAAGTATAGCAGTCTGTTCAAATGGTTGTGCTTAAACTCCCCCCCCGTTCTTCTATTCCCCTAAGAGGGACTTTTTCTCTTGAACTGCTTACTTTCCTTACACAATGCACTGTACCAGAAATTACATTTGCTGCAGATATCCAAAGGCAATGGCAGCTCATGAGAAAGTTTAATGAATACATAATTCAGTTTTAGTGTGTATTGTAAGTAAGCTGAGGGAACCACAAGGCAAAAAGAAGCTGAATATTATATTTTGCATTCTTTATATCAGACACAGTGAGATTACTTATAACACCAAAACTAGCTTTTCTAACAAATCCCTCCATTGATCAAGCTTTGAAATGATTAAAAAAGCATACAAATACTTACGAGTAATGGCTATAATCAGTCGAAGAGGAGCAAGACGGCCTAATGATTTGTTGTAAATGTCACAGATAATGATTTAAAATGAACACACCTGTAATCAGCCTATTTTTCACTGTTTTCTCCAAAGCTGTGCCACAGACCAGCGCCACCCAGTGCAGCTCCGTCCCTGAGCCCAGGAATGGCCGCCGTATGGGAAACAACTTTGCCGTTGGCGCTGCGATCCGCTTTGAATGCACTCCGGGTTATACGCTGGAGGGGCCGAGTGCCATCGAATGTTTGACGGTTCCCAACGCCCTGGCACAATGGAACACTACCATACCCAGCTGTATAGGTAGGCACTGATACTCGTAATACAGTCAGCAGTCACGAACACTCACCAGTCAGCATGTGTTTGTTTTCCTTGCCTTGTTCTTCCTATGTTTGTTTTGCTTCACTCTCTTTATTTCCATCCCTGCCGCTATCTTTGTGTTCCTCCCACTCGATGCCTTGCGTGTCAAACTCTCGTTACTACGACCCAGATGTGGGCTGTCTGCCGTTGCCTCCAGCGATACAACAAGATCCAGCCATGCAGCACGCAGGTGGCAGGCACCGCTGAGGGTCACAAACACACACAGACACACACACACACACACGCTCTCATATGGCGATACCCGCATGTATATTCAAAGGAACACTCCAGCACACCGTACATACAGCTGTAACAGATGCTCCTACGCTTTCACCAGATGTGTGAATGTGAGCCTGGGAAGAAGATGAAAACTGTAAACAATGCGTACCTTGTATAATGTGCATTTTCTTTTCTGTGTGACCGTGTCTTATGTCTTTTTATCCTGCTTATCATTTTTCAATTTCAGTAGCAAGGGCCATGAATTAGATGCATTTTTATCTAATTAGGAATAATCACAATCCTATTCTGCTTACTCTTTGCATTTTGGGGAAGCTTTGGTAGAGATTTTGCATCAAACCACCTTCCAGACCTTTTAATAGAGGAGGCATTAGAGACATGTGCAGATGAACAGAGAGAGAGAGGGAGGGGTGAAGAAAAAACACCAAAAGGGAGAGGGTTAGGTGGGTATTATTATTAGGAATGCAGGGAGTGACGCAGTAGAGATGTGGTCCTTCAATTCACCACTAAGGAACAAATCTTCAACGAGATGTGTTCAAAGTGTTTGATAATGTTCCTTTTTCGCTGCAGTTCCATGTGGAGGTAATCTGACCCAAAGAACCGGCACCATCTTATCTCCTGGCTTTCCCGAGCCTTACCTCAACAGCCTCAACTGTGTCTGGAAGATCACGGTCCCCGAAGGATCAGGAATCCAGGTTTGTAAAACACCGAGTTTCTCCCTGGCATTGCTGTACCTCCTAGATGACAGATTTATAATGAACAGATCAAATCAAATCAAATCAAATTTTATTTATATAGCACATTTTTAAACGATTTTTGGTCGAGCCAAAGTGCTGTACATATAATAAATCAGATAAACATGAGTAAATCAGAAACAGATTCCACCATGTTACCAACACAGTGTATATATGTTAGATCCCCCCAAACGTATCCCAATACAATATGGAATTTCAGGAAGTAACACTAAGTTAGTGGTGAACAAATATGAAAAAAGCGGGATACTGGCCATGTCCAAATGTGTGTTTTTGTAAGGAAAAGAGAAATCCCGTTTCAGATATTCTGCAAAATGTAACCTATCGAGACATCGCCCACATATGAGAAGTGTTATAATAACAGTGAAGCACTTGATAATACAATATAATAATTTACTTAAAGACAAGCTAAATCATAAAGAGAGATTTACATTTATGAAGTGCTGTTATAGAGAGGCGAAGTCCCGCCCATCTACTTCCGACCCATGGGACCTTATTTCGGAAAAATTATGTATTGAATTGTGCCACGAATTACACATATGATGTTTGTCAATCTTAAAAAATTATTTCCATGTAAAAAAAGTCACAGTTTGTCGTAAAACTGTTGAAATATAAGACTATGAAAAATACGTAACTAGAAAGACTACAAATCCCAGAGTCCCGGTCCCGCATGCTGGCTCTCACGGAACCGACTAACTCCCCTTGTGTGTATGTACACTCTCAACATGCCCAGACTTGTAGTGATTTTCACCTCTTTTAATACTTTCCGCCTCATTCTGAAAGAAAGAAGTGAAATGTGCCAACGTGACGGCCGTCTTGGTGTGTGGTGCGAGACGGGAGATGTAGTTCATTGAGCGGTTTCACACAAAAAAAAGTTTTACTTCACAGTTTTACGACACATTTATTTTTTTTTGATTTGCAAAACTATCTTTTAAATTGACAAACATCATAAATTCGTGGCACAATTCAAACGGGATCGAAAGATAATCTTTCTCTCCCCATTGACTTCAATACATAATTTTTCCGTAATAAGGTCCCATGGAGGTCCCCCGTAAAGGGAGGGACTTCGCCTCTCTATTCTTTTTTATGCACTCACAGTCAGCATTAATGTTTTTAAATGGTACCCAAGAATATCCTGAGGCTGAACTTCAATGATCTATCTGTTCTCTTTTTGAGTTAATATTTTTTTAAAGGTCCTTTACTATAAAGAGTTGGATTTCTATGCTTCAATTAATTATAAAGCCGGTCTAGGTGCTGTGTAGGTAATGTGAAAGTATCGCAAATGCTCAATTCACATAGAATTTTATTTAGAAACTGTGCCTAAAACCTAGCATTCAGGACTTCTGTGGTTGTGTCACAACTATAATATATATATGTGGGTGTATAAATACTATAGTCACTCTTTGGCTGCAACCATTAACATATAAATGAACCTTTTAAAACCTTGGACAAACTTAACAGAATTTACATATTTGAGCTTTTACACCTCTGCATTGTCTTGACACGAAGCTCCTGTGGGGTGATTTGTGTTCAGTTGGCAAAGGGCTAATTACCAGAGCTACCTACAGTATATCACGTTATAGCATTTACAGCTCTCGAGGTACAGGTGAGCTGCTAAACGAAAAAGTCCACACACTTTACAGGGGCTCCAATTGAACTATTCCAAAAACCTAACGTTGCACATATTGAAATACATTTGTATATAATTGCATGTTCAATCAATTGACTTACTTCCCTGGGAGTTATTTCTATTTGATTATTCTTATTCTTGCACGTGTTATGGAACCCCACCAGGAACGTGTGCGAGCTCCCTGTGGATCTGCCTTGAGGAACGTTTTTAGGCTTGTGCTTCAGCCACTGTGGATAATGACCTCAGTGTAATCCCTACGCTATTAGCTCCTCCACTTCAGCTGACTGTCCTTGCAGGTGAAATACATGCAATGGCCCACCAGTGCATTTAGCATGCTGCACTACACGCTAACATCGCTATAGCCTGGAGGTGGAGCACACCCAGAATAAGAACAGAGAGCTGGCTGCACGCACACGCTCTGGAGGGCAAAAGGCATTACACTGGAATTCAAACATACATGACTGAAACAGTTTACTTTCTTAATGATGAATGAGTTTGTATTCTGTGCACACCCAGGCACTCTCACTTCATTGCAAAGGAACCACTGCCTGTGCTTCCAAAATGTGTTGTGCTAACTGAAAAGGGTTTGCTGCTGTTTCTATACTCTCTGCAGCTAAATCCTGTTTCTAGCCCACTTTATCTCGTCCTTCTCTCTGCTGCTCCCCTTTTACCAGCTGGCAGAGACACATTAGATTGGAGTGTCACGATCCAGAAGACAACTTAAAGGAGCGAGGTGCCTTGCCGGCACATTTGCCGTGGCCCCTTAATGAAAGATCAATCTGTGATCTGTGCCGTCTCCCCGGGATGCGCCAGAGCCCCTACAGCCCCTACCAACCTTTAATTGGCTCGTATCCGATCTATAACCATCTGAGGCAGGGAGAGGGCCGAGGAATGGATGATAGCGGGAACAGAAAGGGATGCTTGGAGAGCAAAACAATGGAGGACACGTAGAATGTTGGAGAAATGGATGAATTTTAGCTGAAGACACAGATTAAAGAAATGCAGTAGATGACAAAGTGTAGCCTTGTTCACATATTCACTTTATATTGACTTGTCAAATTAAAAAAATAGGAGAAGCCATTTCCTTTGGTGAGCAAAGTAAGTTTTAAAATCCATAATTTAGGCAATCTTTGAGAATCCAGGATGCTATTCTTAGAGTGAGTGGTGTATTTTCTCTCAACAGCAGTAACTGTTGTTCGAGGACACACTTATTTAGATGCAGATATTCAGTCTACTTTTCTTTGAAGAATATCCCACATTCTCTGCAGCTGTCATAACTCTTTCTTAATTTAAAATCCAATGCACTTGAGCACAGCCTCCTTAAAGTGTCTTTGAAATAAAGAAAAGAATACATACTATGTTGCAGTGACTATTGATTTATTCTGTTGGAAATCCTGATCTTTAGTTTGTTCTAAAGTCCTCAGGGACTGCACTTTAAACAATATAAAAATACACTAGTATACAGCTTTTGATATATTAGAGGCACTATCCGTGTTCCTGTGAATCAATTCATAAGAACATGCTTTTCTTGTGGTATTCCTTTGTACATAGAAAAAGCGTTGTCATGACCTTTTTTTGTTATTTTGACAAAGAACTTACTCTGTCAGGTCTGAGACAGCCGCTACTCTCAGGCGAAAATAGTTACTAGCCGAATGGCCATGCTTTGTAGTTCTTCACTTTTGCCATTTTTCAAATACACCCTTTTATGCCATGTTCTCCCACTCAATAATCTTCAACATTCGTTCATTCTGATTTCCCTAGACACACCGATGACCCAGCACTCACTGCTCTGCTCCCTAAATCCCGTCCTGTTTTATCTGTTTTTCCCCGTTCCAGATCCAGGTGATCAGCTTTGTCACCGAGCAGAACTGGGACTCGCTGGAGGTGTTTGACGGAGGAGACAACACCGACACCATGCTTGGCAGCTTCTCAGGTAATGCTGTATTTGTGTGTGCATTTCATTTTCTTGCATATGTTCAATTGTGATTTCAATGTTTTTTCCCACCTTAAGCCTTCACATGAAACACATTTTTTTAAACCTCTTATCTGTACCTGCCAAAAGCATATTTGAAGCAACATAAACACAACCTAATTAGTTTTCACAGAGCAGCATACGACCTGGAACACATACTGTATTTGTTAACCAACATGTTTAAATATTTGTGCCTCATTTGGCACGTAGCTTACATAAATGCAGAGTGGATTAAGGCTTCCAGGGAAAAATGTGGAAAGTTAAAACATTTGAACTGGTTAAGCCTCACGTGGAAGAGTCTGGCCTTTTCTTTGTGTAAAGTTAAATAAACCATTTGTTTCTCTGTGATGCTCCTCTCATAGTGAGGATGCAGCAACCGGGAATTCTCTTTGTTTGTGCTTGAAACCTGACCAAAAGTAAATGTTAGATGTACCCTGAAGTAAACAGATGGAAGAGAAATTCCAGGAGCACAATATGAGTTATTAAACGACCAATTTTAGGTCATACCGTGTCTGAAGAACATGGGATTTTATTGAGCAGGTTTTCATTTCTTCCGCTGAATACATACACACATATTGGAAGAAACAAATGACTCGTTAAAGCGAGTAAATTCAAATATATTGCATTCACCAAATACCACCTATGTACAATTATTCATGCATGCGTTTATGCTGTATTCACACACACACACACACACACACACACACACACATCACATACCCTTAAGTCTGCAAATGTAAAAGGAACAAGCTTGTCCTGCTATTTGCCAGTAGCTTATACAGTTAGTTGTGGTCAGCCGAGGCGGGAGAGAACATTTCTAAACTAAACTATTTATCTTCTCCCCAAGGCACCACGGTACCTGCGCTCCTCAACAGCACCTCCAACCAACTCTACCTCCACTTTTTCTCTGATATCAGTGTGTCTGCAGCTGGGTTTAGGCTGGAATACAAAAGTAAGTAAAGAAACTGTTCGTACCACTTGATGTAAAGTAGCAACTCCCTGAGGAGGAATATATTAAAAAAAAAACTTGCTGGTTGTCTCGCTTCCCATGGCAAGAAGTCTCTCCTGCATTTAGTATCCTTTTGCATTTCTACTCCTGTTCTTGTTTCTGCATAATTATTAATTTGCCTTCTTGTATTTCTTAGCGGTGTCTCTGACCAGCTGCCCAGAGCCTGTGGTTCCTATGAATGGCATCAAGGTTGGGGAGCGTCTCCAGATGAACAATGTGGTCTCTTTCCAGTGTGAACCTGGGTATACTCTACAGGTAACAGCACCTAGCTTCAGATGTGGTTCAGTTTTAAGTCACCATAAAACTACCTTGATGCATTTTACAGATGTGCATAAAGCCAAATGTCACAGATGCGGTGGTAGACTAGATGGACTCAGTGTCAGCCAGCCATGTCTTTACAAGTTACTGTACATGTTCCTTTTTCAGCCACAGTGAAGTGTATGCTCTGTTATTATATCATTGTTGACATATTTGCCGCATCATACAGAGTACTGTGGCTTGAGCATGAAAAGGTACCAATTAGGGAGCGTATAAGTATTATTTGCCTCTTTTTTTACGTGAGCAAATGATGCGTGGGCTGAGCTCAATATACAAAGCTAGTGTTGTGAACTCAAGCCTCCAAGTTTGACTTTGTTTTGAACATCCTTCAAAGGTCCCACTGTATTCATGGCTTCAGGAGACAGATGGTGACTCAAAAAACACACTGGATGCAGAAGTTTACACAAATTATATTATACAGTTCCCTCTTCACACTTCACTACATACATCTATCAGATCTTGTCAAATGTATCTGACAAGGAGTTTTGGTTAGGTTTGTTAGCAGCAGGAAAAACAGCATAACGTGGGGAAATATATTCCAATTATATCAAACCATATATTATTTTAGGAAGTATTAGGTTATGCTTCTAATTTGCTATCATGTAAATGACCAGGGTATTGCTTTGAATGCTTCCCAGTATGTGCAGTAAAAACATTATCAAGGATAATTATGTAAACATAAATAAGTAAATATGTGACCCGCTCTATCGAAATCAGTCAGAAGTCGCAATGGCTCATTTCAAAATAAACGTGGATTTGCGTAAAAAAATTGTTTTTCGGGGTTCGGGTGTTTTGTTTGATTTTAAATAAACAAAGTCTTGGCTTTCAGAATATGAAACTTTTATTTCCAAAATCACACGATAAATACATTTTTGAAGCTTGTAAAGGGAAGAAGACAGGCACCTCTCACTCGCACCCTGCTCTTCCGCAGCGCCGCTCCCCCTCCCTCCGGCTGAAATTATGAATGTAAGGCGTATAGTAATCATAGATAACACGGCAGGGTCCGTTACAGTTTGTTTTCATCTGATTTCAAATAAACAAAGTCTTGGCTTTCAGAATATTAAACTTGTTTCGGCAAATTCAGATGATAAATACAACGTTGAAGCTTGTAAAGGCATAATTACAAGCGGAGAACGGAGTAACTTATCGTCACAGCAGGCATAACAACAGCCGGTGTTTCTCGTGAGTGTTTTCCCCGGGAAACAAACACAATACACACAAATGCAAAAATACACAAACATACACACACGTATACACACACACACACACACACTCACGAGCTTCCCCCAGACCAGTAATCCAAACGAAAATATTTTCCCTCCGTACTCCTTTGATCATTTGCTAATAATCAATCAGATCGATGGATTCCAGAGAAGAGGAAACTTTGAAGGCCTTTTTCTCAAAATGATGACTCGGTGACAGTCATTATATAATGTGACATATTTTGCTTAATATTTGGAGTACAACAACAATCCTGATATCATTAGAAAGCTAGGAATCTCCTCTTTCCAACAGTGTATACAACTCAAAATGTGTCTTCGGGTCAATGCGACTGATTTCGATGGAGCAGGTCACATATGTTAAAATCCAATTTGAACACTGAGTTACTTTACTGATACTGTAAAATCACAGATATCTTACATATTCATGTATGCAGAAGTGCGTTGTGGTTTCCTATTTATAAAAAATGATATGATTTTAAAATCTGACCAAAACTCAGGCCCCAGGCAAACTCTAGCTAGATAGGGTAACGAGGAAACATAAATATAATCCTGGCCTCAAGCTTGAAAATATCTGAAGTCATTATAAGGCCTGGAACTATCAGTCCTTAATCAGTGAGACATGTGAAAGAGCACATTATAACAGTTCAGTAGCCTTCACCAGCATGTTGTCCTGGTGCTCAAAAGAAAAAGGTCAGCTGAGTCAGCCCATTATGGTCCAACAACAGACAGTTTTGATATTATCAAATGTTCCATCTTAATGCAAAGTCAGTATTGAATCTCAGCTGCAGAGCTTACATAGACTGTTTATATGTCTTATTTGTGGCAGTGGAACAACAACCGTGATCATCTTAATGTCCCTCTCTATTGTTCTGTCACTGCAGATGGATTTAGTCATTATGTCGCCGCATGAAGTCATGTGGAGGCAGGAGGCAGGTTCAAGTAATTGGAGCAACAGATGAGTGACAGAGGAGGGGGAAATTAATGAATCGCTTGTTCTTTGTCGCTCTTTGTGTGTGTGCATGGATGCTTCTTCCAGGGAAACTCGCATATCACCTGTATGCCGGGAACTGTCAGGCGATGGAACTACCCACCTCCTCTCTGCATAGGTAAAAATATCTTCTTTCCTTCCTCTGCTTCCACATCCTGCCCTCCATCTGTTTTGGTTCTCCATCTATCTCCATTCCGATAAAGATCCTTCAGCTTGCAGATGCTAACTTTTTTTAAAGAATACACAGAGAATCTCTCATATACATACTTTAAATGTGCATAACACTTTGAATATCATCAGCCTTTTAAATGAGAACAATACAATATTGCTCTTGCTATCTGTATTGTTATTATGTTGCATTGTTGGAGAAGCCTGTGACATAAGATTTTCAACAACATAATTACTCTGTAGCTATGTCAGTTTGACAATAAAGAACCTTGAACATTATCATATAACTTCTGAATGACTAAAGTTGACAAAGATATGTTTAACCTTTCCAATACTGTTTCACATCTCACACACAGCAATCCTTTATATCTAGTCTATCAGAAAATGAAGAAAATACGTGAGATAAACAAAAAAGCAATGGTTATATTTCACTAGTTTGTGATTGTTTTGTGTTCCTGGAAGCTTTTGCACTTTTAAAATGAGTTTCATATTTCCACCTTGAAGGCTGAGCGTACACACTGAATGTAACTGCATTAGCTTCCTTTCTATATTGCACCTCAAGTCTTGAGAGTGAGATTGCCTTTTTCAACTTATTGGAACAACCTACCACTGCCTAATTACTTCCATCTCAGGCTGTGATTGGTTGAAGTCGAGGGAAGATTCATCGTGTTCACAGACATCAGCAGTTTCCTGATTAACTTTAAGCTTTCGGTGCTGCTACAGGATAACATTTAACCGCTGACTTTTTTCTAACAGAAACACAACGATACAACACCCTGATTTTCTCTGAGTGGTTTCTCCCTCCCCTGACTTATGCTGGCATTTATTTCTTAATCAACTCCACTGTGTTTGCTTTTCCCCTTTTGCAGTACCTTTGCTTTTTTTTTCTTTGCCTTAAGTCAGCTAATTCTTTTAACATTAGTTTCTGCATCCTTTCATCTTTTTAATTTTGGTTTCAGGAGGTTCTTTTCCTCTTTTCGTCTTTCATTGGTTTTACTCACTTCAGTCAGGAAAACATTTACCCATCAATGGTTTTAAGATGAAAGCAAAAAGGATGAAAAGCAGCGAAATAAATTGTATGGAATCTCGAGTCAACAAGAAAAGAGCTCTTAACTATTTAATCAATGATGTTGTATTTTTTAAATGGGCTTACTACACCTAACTTTACTCATATAAAGTCATCAACAATGTTTCTATTGGTGGCATTATGGTTTAAGACTTTTATTTCACAAACACAACAACATACTGTACTATGTATAGTATTACTTAAATGTGTGAGAATCCGTTTTTGCACATGCTAATAAATGCTTTGTCTGCCCTCTGTCAGCTCAATGTGGAGGAATCAGGGAGGAAAATGAGGGTATGATTCTCAGCCCTGGTTTCCCTGGCAACTATCCTAGCAACGGTGACTGTACCTGGAGAATATACCTGCCAGTTGGATACGGTGAGTGTCGGGAGAGGCTCTTTTTCCAAACTCGAAAACTTTTAATTTTGCAAACTATAGTGTTGGAGAGTGACAACATTGGTAGTGGTAGATAATTTAAAGAGGACATATTATTCTAATTTTTAGGTTCATATATGTCAATTGTGTCTCTACTGTGACATGTTTAAATGTGTTATTGTTCAAAAAGGTCTTTACTTTTCTCATACTGCAGCACCTCTTTTCACCCTCTGTCTGAAACCAGAGCCCAGTCTGCTCTGATTGGTTAGCTGGCCAACTGATGTGATTGGTCCACTGCAATCATGTACAATGTGTTGGAGTGCTAGCCAAAAGAAGCACACGTGTTACATAGTGATAAAAGTCAAGTAGGGAACAAAGGTGTCCACTGGAGGAGGCAAGGGGGGAGTGTGTTGGAGAGAAACTTCCTCTGGAGGGAACACAGGGATTGTAGCCTTTGCAGACCATTTACATACACAGAAACCTAATCTGAGAGCCTGTGCCAGGGGTCCCTTAGTAGTACTTTAGTAGGAGAATGGCATTGCCTTTTCAATTCCATTGTACTTCTTTCTTAAAAAAATGTCTTTGTTCTTTCCCCAGGAGCCAACCTTCAGTTCCTCAACTTCTCCACCGAGGCCAACCACGATTTCCTCGAGATACGCAATGGGCCCCTTGATACGAGCGCAGTGATTGGCCGATTCAGCGGCCAGGATATTCCCTCCTCATTACTCACCACTTCCCACGAGACCACAATATATTTCCACAGCGACCATTCACAGAACAAACCGGGGTTCAGATTCGAGTACCAGGGTAAGAGACCAAGAGGAATGTGTAGGGAAGGTGGTAAAAGATGCTGAAGATTGAAGCAGGAAATTATGATCAGCCCCAGGATTGTGTCAGATAAAATTAGACTTTGGTAATATATGTTTATAATAATGATCATAATCACCATGGCGAAGACTTGCAGGGCTGAGCCCGTATCAGTATTATGAGTTACTTTCTTCTTGCAAAGCTTCATCAATTGAGTAATTACTTCAGTGTGACTGGAGCTTTTTGGCTGCTTCAAATTATCTTCACTGTCACCATAATGTGTTTCAGCAGAAGTGCAGAAAAAATAACTTTGAGTCCAGCCAGTTCTCTGAATTGACAGAATACACCGTAAAGTTGAATTACGATTGTAGCAACAGAACGATATATAATAATCTTTCTTTCGTGTTCACTTATTATCCATAAGTGTTGCCTCACTGTAGGGTGTAAGCATTGTAAAGCCATAACACATTACTGAATTAGCCCTAGAGCTGATGGTGTCAGACTAATCTGCCCACAGAGCCAGTCAATTCCACATATCTATAAACCTGTATATAAAACTCTTGATCACTTAAAAGATTTCCGCAGCATGTGCCAATAAAAGGCTTCACTGCATATCTACATAACCGCGAAGAGTAAATCCCCCTCGCCTGCAAATGCAACAGGCACAGAAAGTTTGTGTTTTGCGATTCAACAAACGAGCCGGCAAACCGAAAGGTAGAATTGTGCATTTACATAATGATGTGTACATTAGCATATAAATCAAGCATTATATTTGCAAACACCCCCCATTCGCAGTATTTGCATGAGTTATCTCCTACAAAGGGAAGCTGTGATCCATAGAAATCAATTTCTTTAGTCATATTTATATCCTGGCTCTTCAAGGCTCACTGCCTGCTTTGCTTTTGTATCCAAGAGGAAGAGAAAGGGAAGAATTATTTACCCACACTACTTCTGATGACTGCATCATACTCCTCCGGCATAAGTCAAACCCGCCCATGGCATTTTCTTTCTCTCTGAAAACTCCAGTCTCAAAAGGAGTAGGAGGATGAGGAGGAGTGAGTGGGAGGTTTAGCACAAGATGAGGAAGGGAAATTCAAGTTGGAAAATAGGGAAAGAGGACTCTCCACTGTATCACCTACATTGTCTGGAAGCCGCGCATTAGCAGGCAAAACAGTAAATGTTTTATGGATTGATTCTAGCTTCAGGCAGTAACAAGATAAGAGTGTATCCAGTGGCAAAAACATGCTTACTAAAGGACTGAATACAAATCTGTGAATCTATTGGAAAAATAAATACATGCTGTTCTGTTTCTCAGCCTATGAGCTTCAGGAGTGCCTGGATCCAGAGCCTTTCCGGTACGGAGTGGTGGTGGGGGCCGGCTTCAACGTGGGCCAGTCCATTTCCTTTGAGTGTCTGCCCGGTTATCTGCTAATGGGACATTCCATCCTCACCTGTGAGCATGGCACCACACGAAATTGGGATCACCCTTTCCCTCGATGTGAAGGTGAGAGAATTCAGATTAGTCGTTTTAATAGCCATACATTATGGACATTTCACACATTTACCAATCCGACCAGTTAATTACTTCCTGTTTAGAATGTATTGAGCTATTTGGCATCATTAGTGCAAATAGCGGTTATGGACATTATGATTATCTATTATGAATAATGCAATTAAACAGCATTATCATCCCCATTAATGAAGCAAAGTAGTCTGCAGTGAAAATCAATACTGTGCGTAAGAGAAATGGAGTCAAATAATAGAAATTGAATAAAAGAGGGGGCTGAATTACAATGAAAAGTAATGAGTGCGCCGTTCTTTCGCCTCGTCCTTGACCCACATTCACACGCTCTGGCTGTCGATTATTCAATACGGCAGACAAAATTACAGAGGGAGGTGACGGCCGTGACACTGGAACTTTTAAAATGGGCGAGCATAGAGATAAATGCGAGGGAGGGAAGGTGCAACGGAGTGAAAAGGAAGAAGGAACAAGAGATAAGAGTTAATTCACTCAAGGCAATTATTTCTTTTTTGGCCTTTTTCATTATTCACGTGCTGTTCAGAACAGAAAATTATACGTGTGTGTGTGCTTGCAAATGCAAAGTCATGTACAAGTTGGTACATTTACTCACAAATTCGTAATACCGTTTTATTTTACAGATATTACCAGTCATGCATCAGTTTATTTCCATTATAAAATAGACATATTGACCTTATTTGCTCTCAGCTCAATATCACAAATGTTACATTTGTCTCAGTGGACTTCACAGTTTGTACAGAATATCAGTATGACAATACGACACCCTCTGTCCTTGCTATTGCATTACATGTCAGCAAACCATGTTGTAACACCTTCATTTGACCCCATACAGCTCAGTATATCCTGCTCTTTAGTTTCCTGTCACATTATTTGCACCGTCTCAGGGGCATTGATTTTTCTTAGCTTGCTTCCACTTAGCGACTTGTCTTGGAATTATCATAATACAATGTTGCTGGCACTGCACTCTTTTCTGTTGTTTCTTTGTTTCCACTTCTGTCTGCATTCAACCTCCGCTGTCTCATCTCTGCCTTCTTCATTATCCCTTTTCCATTGTTCTGTCTATTTATATTGTAGAACGGTTTGTATAGAAAAATACGTATCTGATTAATTGTATATTCATAGAGATCGCTGCGGAATAACTATTATTTTCCTGGTCTCTGTGGAAAAGGAAAGGCTGACAAAGACATTTTGTAAAGCTTTATTTTACTAATAAACCAACATTTATACACAATTGAATTCAAATTCAATCAATATAAACATGTAATTTAGCATCATTGAGAAATACATGCAGTTGCCCAGTTTTCAGACAGTACTTTCACATGATATGATTAAACATATTATGATTCACATGATATGATTAACTTAACCATGTGAAAACTCACATATCTTTTTCCAGACATATCATTTCATCATATTTGACTTGTTTTGCATTTTGAAAAAGAAATTGCAACCCTTTCTGAAGTTTTCTGATGCCCCCTTACCCTTGAAGCAAACACACAATTCTACAGATAGGGTTTAAGTAGCTTGCCAGCTGATGGCTTCAGCCAGATGTGCAACTCGATAGAGTGTCCGGGGTTTAATCAATGGGTCTGATCGATAGCTCATTTAGGGGATCCTGCAGTAGAGGGGCCTATCTACCATCGAGCTAAAGCAGGCCGCTGTATGACATGAACACAAACATAACCTGAGCGTGACAAAGTGATGAAACATGCAAACTCTGCTCTTGGAATTATCATATACTTATAGGCTTTATATGGTGCCGTTATGCTGAATACCCTGTCTGGGTTGCTTGAGATGCCTGCACTGCTGTGATTACAACTCCTTCCTGATTGTTCCCTGCTCCACCACAGTGAATATGGGGTTTCTCTGAGGGCACCAGCGGGGATGTTAAGCTTCGTAATCGTTAAGTTGCTTAGAACCTCCTGAGTTCCTGAGAAATGTTTGAAATAAAGTTATAATTATTCTGCATGCTGCTGTTTTGAGGCTGGGTGCAGGGTATATATAGTTTGTATGCGAGTGAGCGAGTTTTACTGTATTTGTCAGGCTGTTCAGGATATTTTTAACCTCAGGATATTTTGCATATGAACTTATGATGCTCTCATGTTTTCAGCTTTGACACAGACATGCTGTTTTAACCTTAACTGTCACTCACACACAAGTGTACACATTTAGATGCATATCCATTCCTCAAACACATACTGTATGCACACACGTCAAAATGCCAGTCTAACCCCTCGCCTCATCTCTGCGCTCTCTCTATTCACCCCCAGTGGGAATGGGTTGAGGCCTTATCTTAGCAAAACACTCCATCCAAGTCCCCACTTGCTAACAGGCTTTACTGGCTAATCTTTAGCTCAGACAAGTGCCTGGGCGCTAGACGAAGAGCAAAGAAAGAGACACTAAGATGGAAAGCAAAAAATGTGGATGATAATTCATTTTTTTCTGACCAATTGCATCTGAGTTACGGATATGTCCGGTTGTATTCCTGGCCCCCTGATATATATACCCTCTGCTCCCCTTCATCCCTCCCTCAGTGCCTTGTGGTTGGAACATCACATCAGACAATGGGACCATCTTCTCCCCGGGTTACCCAGAGGAGTACCCCAACTCAGCAGACTGCTCCTGGCTGATCACCGTGGCTCCTGGCTTCGGCATCAAAGTCAACTTCACCCTGCTTCAGGTTCACGGGCCGCACGACTTCATCACTGTCTGGTGAGGAATTACCTTGACATTTCAGATAAACTTCCTTTCTGCCTGTGGGTAAAGTTAAATTGTATTTTATCCATTTCTCTAGTGAGCAGACCAAGTCCATTTAAAAGAAATGTGGCACCCTGTACTTCAACTTTGAAATGTTACAATGTTTATTTATTTATTTGCGGTTCAATACTCTCGTTATCATCACCTCCATTGACTTGTTTTTCAATCCCATCCTTCATCTCCTTGTCACCCACTTAGGCTTCTCTACCCGGTACACCTTTTTTTCTCCTGTGATATCCACCTTTGTTGTGTTGCTGAATCAGGCTCCAATAAGCTGATCTCTACTGCCCATTTCTCTCTTTTCATTTACTTTCCTCTTGAAGTGTATCCACAGCTTGTTTTCTGACTAACAGGTACATTACGTCCTCCCACTACACTCACCTTATTACAGTGGCAAAGAGATCTGCAGATCGAAAGCTCAACTGTGTCACATCTATGGCTTTTGTATGTGTGTCCTTGGTTTTCTTATCATGCTCCTCAAAAACACTTGGAAATAGTTTTTAATGCATCTTCAACCACATCAATATCTATACAAATGTAGGATAATGAATTTGTGAGGTTTTTCATTTGGTCTTTTCATTTGCAATTTCAATGAAAAGAAAATGTTTTTCAGCAACATGAAAAACATTATGTTAGCCAATCAGAGCAATTTGTGAAATACAGTTCCCACTTTTGTGTGAGAGAAAAAACATAAAGTAAGCTTTGGCTTGTAGAAATGTGTGTGTGCTAATGTTTGTGTCAGGATGTTTACCTGATAGTTGTGTGTATTTCCCCTGACTGAGTATCAGGGGTTAAATCTTCCTTTCATGACCTCCATAACGCACGGCTGGGCCTGCCATATGTGCGAGCAAAGAGAGGATTTTGCATGCATGACGGTTGCCAGTCCCAGTTGTCTCCCCGACATGAGCTCCAAAGGTCCCCGCTCTCAGTGACACCGGAGATCTGACTGCCAACCAAGCTGGCTTCTTGACGACCAAATGAAAGTCCACATGGCGTTGAATGACATCTATGTTTTACGGACTGGGTTGCTTATAGAAATGTGTGTGAATATTTCATGCAGAGTTTGTATCACTTTGACGACATAGCTAAAGTAGACCAAAATGTACCCTTTTAAAGCTTATTGTTCATCTTCTGTAAAGCCCCCCATCCTGCTCTTCCCCAACAAGCTCCTGCAGAGCCAAGATGGGGACTATCATGATCCCCAGTTTTCAGTTACCACCGCTGTGTATCTATCCACTGAACTACTGAGCCAAGGAAATGGGCCCAGTAATGGCGGCTTGGCCACAGTGCTGTCAGGCGGCAGTCCCTAGCCAGCCGTTTCCAGAGCTGCTTGTAATCTCCCATGCCCAGTCTGACAGCCAAAGACAGATGGTTTTTAAGCTGAATGGTTGTGGCAGGAATCTGGGAGCCGGCTTAATCGGCCGTGCCCACGCCATGGGACTGCCAAGGCAGGGCCGCCGCTTCCAGAGACACTCCCTTTGGATAGCAGTTAGCAGGGACAGCGCAATCCAGACCTGTCATTCCACGCTTATCTGTAATTTTTACCTTATTTCAACATAATCACCCTGAGCAGCCCAGAGTAATTGCTTTGGGTATGATGAAGTGAGAGCAGCTTGGTTATACTCTGCTGCTGGAAGCTTCTATACATAATCTGGCATCTGGCTTTGTTTGCTTTTTCTCATAGAACTGCGTCACAGAGCCTCTAGGTTCTTTATGGTTAGAGACAGAGCAAGCATTTCTGCAGAGGCTGCTGACAGAAAGTCCCCACGGATAATTATCATCACAGTTTATTGTTGGATAGCTTACCTGTGACCTTTTATTTTTCATTTAGGGATGGTCCACTGGAGACAGCCAGAAAACTGGGAGTGTTCACTGATGGCGAGCCCAACGAGCCGCCCAGCAGCACATCCAATCAGCTGCTCATTCGTTTCCGTAGTAACGCGGAGAAGGGTGGACTATTCCAAATCAGCTATCAAGGTATGCAAAGTACTCTTCTCAAGTGAGCGTTATCTGTGCCATATATCTTCTGTGTTTGACTCACTTCATGTCTTTGTTTCTCTCCATACAGCGTACAGACTACAGTTCTGCCTGCCTCCTCCCATCATCCCTAATGCAGAGATCCTGATGGCAAGCAAAGAGTTTAAAATAGGTAGGTGGAAGCTGTCACAAAAATGCATAGTCATACATATGTAGACACAGATAATAACTAGGCACCCTTGACTTTTTTTATATTAGACGTTGGACCCATCCTGACTTTTGGAATTTAAGCATTTTAAATATTTAATCCCTCTGTCGGTTCGCATTCTGGCTTGAAAGTTGCCCCAGGATCACCAACTTTCATACAAACTACACATCCCATAATGCATTTCTACTGAATCCAAACTCACCCCAAACAGCACGACCCAGGGGACTTTGAGGCAGCAGTATAAATGACTGATTATGACACAATAATCAGAAAGCCAGAGGGATTTGAAGCTCTCCTTCTCTGTCGAAGACAATAGAGATTAATGCTCCTTATCTGTTTGTTTTCATACCTCCATGCCGGATTATTATTCTCAGAGACACAAAGGCATCAACACTGACGTAGTGTTTCATCTATAGGGTCCCCAGTGGGGAATTATTATGGTACTTCGCACTGTTAACTTTTCCTTTCACTTAGACACACAATGGATCATTATTACCTCTGTGTCGAATCAGTATCCCAGCTAAGGAGTGCTGATTAGTGTATAAAGACATTTTAGGTGGTATCAATCAGATATATTGTTTCCACCATCTCCGATCTGTCATTAACTGTTCTTCCTCCTCCTCCATCTCTCTCTGTTCAGGGGATATAGTGCGCTACAGATGTCTTCCAGGCTACCATTTAAGTGGAAACAGCATCCAGACCTGCCGGCTGGGGACATACTTGGAGTTTGAGGGGCCTCCACCCTCATGTGATGGTGAGTTAAAGCCTGAGGCTTGAACACTTGAACACTTATCCAGGGAATGGCATGCTCTCTTGTCAGAAAGGCCCTATTCACACACTCAGTTTGCCGCAGAGCAGCTCCTCTTCAAGGGATGATGGTCAAGGGCCTTTCTCAACATGGGCTCCTCATCGGAGGTAGGACGTAAGAAGCAGGCGCTGCTCTTTCAATTTCACTACCAATATTTATCCTGCCTGTCAGGGGATCTAATCTGTGACCCGAGAGCCATTAACTCCCTCTTTTCACACATTGATATCGCTAACCCTTCTGGCTAAATGTAATATTACATTATCCAGCTTTTCTCCAAATAATCTATGCTCTAAAAAAACACTGTAAAAGCATTAATTAGTTCAAGTACAATGTGATAATTGGTTACATGCTAAATTAATTCTGGTGTTCAAAAGTCTCTAAAGTTAGCTTATCTTTGTGCTGATGCAAAATGTTTTCATTGCTTTATTTATGTGTGATGTTGTAAAGATAGAAATCAGCTTATCAAACAGCAGCTCTACCATTTAAGTGAGCAAATGTTAGTCAATGATTTTAAATTGCTGTTCTGGCACTCTTTAGCTTCCAATTTGTTATAAACATATCAAAACGCAGGTGAAACTGTGTCTCCCTCTGCCAAAGCGACTCTCTGCAAGTTTATTTTCAGCAGGGTTATAGTGTGACAGTATCATTTTACCCCTGATCATTGACTCATGCACTAGTTTGCCTTATTTCTTACTCCCATGGGTAATCGTTCTGCGTGTATTCCTGAAGCTGCAGCCACATATAATGTAGGCACTACTTTCTCTCTCTGTGGATGATACTTGGCTCCCATGAGGCTGAGGCTGGCTTCTGTGTGGCTCACTACATGCTGAGATATGATCATCCCAGAATCAGAATCAATGAGTGCAGTGTTCCCAGCACACCGTATGATCATAACACTGCATGTTGTGTGCAAAACTCCTCCTCTGGGCCAGAGACTGGGTGCATCGAGGGGTCCCTGAGTTGCTTCTCTGCTATTAATATCATATAAGCATATTTCATTCTCTCGTTTCCTTTTTTTAAACATATTGAATCTTTTGTCCCCTGTCTTACTGTGTTGTTGTCATTCTGTGTGTTACTTTGTTGGTGGATTGTGACAAGGGCGAGTTGGTAGAATATCAGAAATGCAACTCATTTTGAGTGCTATTTAGGAAAGATATACAATGTATGGAAGAGGAGGCAGAGTTGGTGAAAGACAGATGGCAAATGAAGAGACAAAGGCGATGTGTGAGGTACTAATAATGATGTGGAACAAAGTACTCTGCAACTGAAATCTCAACATTAATTGAGGGAAAAAAAGTAATATTTGTGTGTGTGTTTATTTTCGCCTCTATGAAGTCCTCCCTTCACTGAACCTACTGCAGTCACCTGAAGCTGCAAGAGAAACAACCACGCTTTTTATTTTAATTTTGAAAATAATGATTTTCCTACAGCTTTGGCTTGCCAAGATAAACATATCTCTGTGTTTTGAATGTGTGTGTATGTTCATGGCTTTATGGAATGATAATGTGCTGAGAAACACTAAGAACAAACAATTCCATCATCATACTCCTCTTTCCTGCAAGCTGTCATGCTACAGTACCTGCATATACTGACTGGTTGAGGGAGAGGAGAGCCACAGATAGCAAAGGCTGAAACCGTCAGGAGTTGAGTGAGAGGATGTCAAGAGAAGAGAGGAAAGAGCAAAGTTTGGCAACAGATGCTAGTGAGAAGGAAGAGAAGAAGATTGGACGGTGAAGAATGAGGGACAGTTTGTCTCAGGATTCTTTAGGGGGTCAAAAATAAGTTTGTCTTGAAACATAGAGTGAGCTAAATGAGCAGGAAGGTGGCTAGTAAGTGAGAGTAGGACAGGAGTTAAAAAGGGAGGTGAGGAAGGGAGAGACTTAGTTGGAGGGCAGCGAGGAGACGAAGTGCACAGCTCATTGAAATGCAGGGCACATGCCGGCTGCAGCTGCACCTATCAAATCACCACGTCTAGCTCTGACACGTGCACCCCTCCTCACACACCCCACAAGATACACATTAAACTGCACACACTCGTGCATGCACTGTATAAACATACATGTCATGTGACCGGGTTACACAGCAGTGGTTCATGTTCTCATTGTGAGCTGCACTGGAGTCTACAGGCGGTTCTGCAGTGTTGCTTGTCCCAATGCGCCGGTATCTTCTCTCATCCTCTGCATTCCCCCCTGTCTGCACTCCTTCCTCCCCCTCCCTCACTCGCCCCTTTCCTCCACTGACTCACAACGTCAGACTTCTGTTCTTATGTAACACATATACCCTTTATTCCCTCTTCTCTCATTCTTTTTTCTCTGAGCCTACTTCACAACACAGTGAAATATATTGTCACAGATTTTCACACAAGGCTGTCTATCAATACCCCGATCCTAACACTGAGATGGATCAGAAGACACGTATAAACACACTCACTCTTGTTTTTCTTTATTTAATCCAGAGATTTGTCTCCAGTCACGACAGCGAATGGGTTTTAGCCTCTCTTGTGTTTCTGCCATCGGAGCAACCAGTTGGGTTGTGATTTATCTGATTTCCCCGCTATTTGATTAAACTGGGTCGTATTGGACCCACAGCCCTTAACTGCATCTGCTGCTGAGACTGCGGGGAGTTCCAGCAGCACGCACACACAAACACAAAGCAACAGCATCAGAACAAAGTGTTGCTTGAATTCATTAATGAAACACAATGAGCTCTGATGATCCAAAATCCCTGTGTTTATCCCCCAGACAGATTTCTGGTTAAAACCTGCATAATCACCCATCACATTAGTCTCCCGGCTCGCTTTCTTCATCCCACTCAGTCCCTTTCGCCTCCCTCGCCTCTCTGTCTATCTCCTTTTTGTTCCCTAGATTATTTTTTTTTGCCCCGGCCCCCTTCTTTTTGTCCTACAGAATGGATTACAATTGCCCTTTTTCTCATCTTCATTGTCATCCCTGACTTCCTCAAGTTGTGAGGTCTTGATCCACACTAATGCTTGTGTTGTGGCCCATCCCCTTCAATCAGCTCGTTATCACTCCTCAGATGATGCTAATTAAATAGCAACATGAGTAAAGGCATCTCAACAGCTCTGCAGTGCTACATGCTTGATGTATTGTGGATTGATGCATGTGTGCGTCTATACTACTCCACACTGAAAAGCTCAAATGTATGGATGCAGATGTGTGTGCATCTGTGCTTGTCTGCAAGGAGGCCTTCTGCCGCATTTTTTAATCGGGAGGCTGTTGCATACCGTTGAACAATTTATTCACAAACAGAAGGGATGTCTCACAGATTGCTGTACCCGCTACCAGCTTATTCCAATCCTTGTCTCGTTAAAGTGAAATTTCATGTTGAGCCCTATCATGGTTGATCTCACCTTGTGTCTTGAAGCTGCCTTTCTCCAGCTGTCAGATGTGTCCCCTAATACCCTTTTGTTTACATCCAAACAGAGTGGTGCTTCTTTTCAAACTGGATTAGTTTCATAAGGAGCAACCTATAGATAAGAGCTCCTTGCCTGTCGCTCTCCATCAACTCCCAGACAAGCAGAAAGCTGTTTTCAAGACATTTTGAAGCTTTCTGAAAGGTCACCATCAAAACACATCTCATCCTCACAAAATTGATAGTTTAATCAACTTTCTTCATAGATTTGATACGCTACTTCCCGGTGAAATCAAGTGCCTTTTCACTCACATCCACTGAGGTGCTTGAGGTTGTAAATGTGTTCACAGACTTGGAGTGTGGGCTAGGAATAGTTTACTGTCAAAATGGCACTATTACTTTAGCTTTTACCATTGTGCATGCTGGGGGAAATTGTATTTTCTGAGATGATGCTCACAAATGGCAAAGCATTTTCCTCTCATACCCACTTTGTGTTTGGATTATTATTATCCCACTACTTTAGCTACCACAACATGAGCTCAATATGTTCTTTTGTTGTATTTTTTCTTTTGGCACTCTAGGGGTGGAGGGTTTTAATTCTATTTGGGACACTTGTTGCATGTCATTCCCAGTCTTTCTTGCATTGTATTGCTTGCAGTCTCTCTACAGTTATCTACACCATTTTAAAAAGCCAACAAAATGTTCAGACATTATTCGTTTGCTTTGCCCTACTTGTTGCCCCATTTCTTTTGGCTAATACAAAACAAAATGAATGGACACAAGTTTAGGCAAAAGTAATTGACAGGAACATGCCTCATTTTGACATGCTTGGCTTATGAGTGACAGCTTGCCTGACACTATCTTACATAACCTGGGGCAATATATCCCACCTACTTGACAACCCAAGCCAGGTAAAAACAAAAATTCCAAAGATTATTTGCAAATTATTTTTAACCAGGGCTGTCTGCCATGATGTTCGTCCTGCAATTGTAATGATATGTTCCCCTATAAACACAGGAAGGAGGTTGAGCAAGCTAAGAAACACATACACCAATGTGTACTGAAAGAAACGCACAGCTCCACTTTGTACACGAAAAAAGGTTTACACATTGTCCTACAAATATGGCCCTTTTACAATGTCATTCAGAGCATTCAATATTTCAGCACTGTAATAAAAAACCGTCCAGTGCTGCCTTACCCTGAGGCTGATGTGGCTTGAGTATTTAAATTGCGGCACACAACAGGGGCATTACACCCCTGCTACGTTTTGTGCCCAAACACACTCACACACAAAAAACATACGCAGATGAAAAAAACCACCTTGTTTTGTGCTCTTTAAAATGGTTTTAAATCACACATGCAGAATGTTATGCTTTGTTTGTTTATTATTTCTGTTTTGTAATTAAAGCCAGTGGCTGATATTTAACAATAACTGTATGTTTTTTTTAGAATGGTCTTTTTTTAATTGTAGAGCTCTTAACCAGCTGCTGGGTTGAGTTCCAGCAAGGCTTCAGTGTTAAAACCTTTCATACAATTATGTTGATCAAAGTAGACCCTTGGGATTCGTTGTGATATAGGAAAGCAGTAATATACACTATAAAACAGTCAATAGAGAACATTTGCTTTATGTATGTGAATAGTAACTAAAAGAAGCAATCCAATGCAAACAAGAAAATAAAAATCTCCCGGTTTTTTAAGAGTTATTTTACTGTCCTTTTCTTTAGACCTCCGCCCTATTAAGTGATCCAAAAAAACAATAGAAAGGAGAACAACTCTGCAGCAAAAGCATTGTGTTGTCATAGCAGCATTGGCTTCCTTTCATGTTGTAGTTTGTTATTATGGTTCCACTGTGTAAGCAGGCGAATTAAGAGGTTGGCTTCACAGCATCGCAGTAAAAGCACAACAGACAGAAGCGTTGTGTAACGTCTGATAATACAGACAGAAACCAATAAGAAATGTCAAAGCATGCCATAGAGATGTCCCAAAAGAAATAACAGTGACAGAGGGGGTAGGACATGAGTGGATGTATGTGGTCCACCCAGACGTGTCACAGCAATATGACTCCCAGGCAGATGTGAGCGTGCGCCGGCTAATAAGCATCACATCTGTCACATTCTGACAATGGGCAAAGAGCAGGAAATATGCTCGTGGCAAGAGAGTCATCGTATATAATGTATAAGCCGTTTCCTGGACAGCTTTCTTTGCCATGACAGCATCAACACCAGGATGACAATTAGCTTAGCGATGCTTTTAGTCACATTGAGTTGCCTTCCAACAACAACATGGTTCTAACCAATCCAATTTGTGCTTCAATGTCAATTAAATTCCCTGAAAAAGAAAATAATGAAAAACCATGTTAAGGTATGTGTGTAAAAAACAACAGCGGAAAGCTACATGTAAACAAGCCTTTCTTCCTGTTATAAATGTGTCTTATTTTTCTCACAGTGACATGTCCCATGAATGAGATCCTGACAGCTTCAACAGATGTCATCATGAGCCTGTCACCAGGCAACGGTTTCCCACATTTCGAGTCCTGCTCCTGGGTGGTCAAAGTGGAGTCCGGCTACAACATCACCTTCACTGTTGAACAATTCCAGACCAGCCGTCAGTTTGATGAGCTCGAGATCTTTGATGGTGAGTCACTGCATCTGTAATGAAAGGGAGCACATAGTATCATGTCTGTGTTGATTTGTTTTTGATAGCAAAAACTATGACAAATATTGGTCAACAAACTTTATTTCAGGTTCATGAAGTCAGCACGTGCCTCATTAAACTCTGGCAATTTTCACATGCAATATTGTTGATAAAAGAGACAAAAAAATGAAATACAGTTTAGAATAGTAAGACTTTAGTGGTGTCTGATAGACGACTTCGATGTAATGACTTATTGTAGAATTAAACTGCACTAAAACGTCTTGTGGTCAACCAAAAATATGAAGGATACAAAGTACCAAAGAGTTAACAACGCTCAGATGAAATCATAAATAGATACCGGAACACTGGAATCATGCTATTTAGTTGTGCAGCATTAAAATAGTTTTGACCTTTTCTTTATCAAGAACAGCTGAACTGAGTATCATGTTGTCTTTCAGGTCTAGGTGTGGCCCCCTTTGACCCTTTGTCTCTATTGGCGCATTTCCACTACAGCGCGGTTTAGGCGTGCCGTGCACGGCCCGTTTTTGGTTGCGTTTCCACTAGGCGTAGTTCTGGCTAGCGGGTACTTTTTCACAGTTTTCTGGCTCTCAAATCGAGGTTCTTTCCGGGCCAACAAGCGGGCTGAGTATGCTAAACTAGTGAGAGAATCGCTGGCAACTACAACAAAATGAACATATTTTACCGTGATTTAATTGTAATACACGTTTCAAAATGATGCCGAAGTAACAACATACTGATACCGGTTAGTAAAAACCATGAATTAATGCTTTGACAAGTCTGCAGACAGACGGCAGGAGAAAAACCTTTTAAAATGCGTGTTTTCTAAATGGAGATCGGCTAAGCTAACGCAGTATATGCTCCGACCGGCCACACTCACAACAACGGCCTACAGACATAAATGAACCAGCGACTGTATTCGCCATGACACAGGCAGTCTGTGGTTTGTACTTGTTTCACTTTTGTCTAGTTTCTGAACAGATATGAGGAGCTGTGAGCTCTGAGGGCTAACAGCTAACGGCTGATGTTGGTTTTGTGTTTCGCATTGAAGATGACGTCACGGCTCCGCCTACACTGCGTTACTATAGTTACTACCCCAGTTCCTAAACTGTAATGGAAACGCAGCATAAAGTGAGCCTGGCCTACCAAGGCCTAACTATACCGTACTAAGCCGTGCGAGGCCCTGCAGTGGAAATGTGCCATAAGATACCTCCCCCCACACTTTCTTGACCAACGACTCATTCTCACTAATATCCACAATTAGAGGTTGAAATGAGCCAGACATCTGATTCCCCGCCCATAACAAAGCTTACTGCATCTACTAACAGAAAAATCACACACAGGCCCTGCTTCACGGTGACAGGACATCTACATCAGCCTTTACATTAGCATGTGATTAGAGGCACAGTCAGCAACTCTGCCAGGATGCTCTGAGAAAATGGCCGTCGTACACACTAGTGTTCCCGATTAGTGCTTTATGTATTCTGCAGAGTGGGAACAGACTAACCTTGCCAAGGCAATTATGGAGGAATCTTTTTTTCCACAATTAGACTAAAAGGCACAACTTAAAATCCCTGACATGACAAAATATATTTAAAAAAAATGTTGTCCGTGCATAATGAGAATTTCTATCAATTTAAATGTATAAGAAAAATGCTATTTAAATGAATGTCCAGCTTTCAGTGTGTAGATCATGAAATACAAGGCTTTATAAAGAAAACTCATTCGTAGTGTTAGTTTACTTTCAATTTGCGGCGCTCTTAATCATTAAAGTGGCTATTTTGACACATTGTAAGCTGGCCAGATAACTAATCAGAGCAGACTGGGCTCTGGTTTCAGACAGAGGTTGAAAAGAGGTGCTGCAACACAGGTAATATGGGGAAAATAAAGACTTTTTTGAACATTAAAGCATTTAAACATGTCACACTAGAGATACAAAATAGAAATATGAACCTGAAAATGAGCAGAATAGGGCCTTTTTAAGTTATGACAATTACAAAGATGGATTCTTCTTAATAAATGATTTCTCTCTCTTCCTCAGGCCCAACCAGACAGAGCCCTCTCCTGATTACCCTCAGTGGTAACTATTCCAGCCCTCTGAGCATCACCAGCTCCAGTAACAGGGTCTACCTGCACTGGTCCTTCGATCACACCACCAGCCACAAAGGCTTTCGCATACGCTACTCAGGTACGTCATAACCAGACTTACACCAGCCTGAAGTCACAAACTTTTCAGACAATGTTATTTCGGCTGTCCTTTTAAAATTGATCACCAGAAGAACTCGTAGACATTGTTGTACGTGCAAACTCAACAGAGGTGCCTTTGGTTCACTGTGCCAACAAGACCAACATTTAGGCTGCCAACTGCAGCTGAGATAGCAAGAAATAAAACCCATCTCCATGACAACCTACCGGGGGCAACGGGCATCTGCAGCACTCCTCGCTGTGCACCACAGGCCTAGGAATTACTAAACGCTGTTTCTTTTGTATTTCTTATTATTCTTCTGTTCTGTCCTGCTCCCAAGAAAGATATGTTGGTATACGACACCTGCATAACCGGCTCTGAATTATGACTGTGTAAATATTTAAAAGGCTCCCTCCGTTCTGTATCAACAGCACTCAGCCAGATTGACTAATCGTCTCTCCCCTCCTCTCAGCGGAGCGCTCCGCCTCCCCTACCGGATGTTCTGTCGTTTCTCACTGTCCCTTTTTTATTTATTTATTGCCTCTTTTACTTTTTTTTTAATCTTAAGCCATGATGGATTTTGCCATAGCAGGCTAAGTGACAGCCAAACTGAAGGGATGGCTGAGAACCCGCGAGTTGCCATGGTCAATATGGAGGTGCCTTATGTAGTGCCTTGGTGGGGAGGAAGAAACAGATGGCAGATTCATGTATTCGCCGGTTCCCTTCATCAATCCATCGCTTTTCTCCGTGGGCCGGACTTCCATCAACAACTTGCAGAAATCTCCTCTAGCAACTGGCCATCTCATTTTGTATTCTTACTCTCCATCCATAGCCTCAATCGCTGTTTCTCAATCACCTCATTTAGTCTCTCTCTTCTATCAATTCAACCAACTGACTTAGTATCTTTCCAGCCATCTCCTTAAGCTCATATGTCCCTCCCTCATCTGTATTCTTCCTCCCACTTTCTCCTCTCTATTATCTATTCCAATCCAGTCACCTGCCAATGTAGATCGTATTCCTCTGAGCTGCAGGGCTGATTGCAGGGAGACAAGCTGTGTACTATAACAGACAGAGAGAGGGAAGGAAAGGGGAACACAGATGCCTCATTCACACCAACGGTGTTTCAGGGCCGGTTCGGAGCTGGAGCTTGAAAAGCACCGGGTTTTCCTGTTCACACCGCAGCGGAGCAGCCTCTTAGCTCTGGAATCCGGTTTGTTTCAAGCACCAAAAAATTGTCCGGCTAGAGCAAAAGCACCGCATACGTCACGCTTACATCGAGGCAGGGGCAGGGGCGGGATCAACTCCTGAACAACAACAAAAAGCCTGCGTTTAATCCAGTTTGTACACAACGATGGAGAAACTTAACAAGCAGCAGTGGTCCACTGAAGAGACCAGCTACCTACTGGTCTTCCATTTCGTTTCGACAGAGCAAAACCAAAACGAGTAGCGCTTCAACACAATCGGCCATTGTTGTTGTTGTCGGTGTGAACTGTGAGGGGTTTCCGCGCGGTTTGGCTTTATGAAGCAGGCACGCAAACGGTTACGTCATGACGCAAACGATGACGCAATGACGCAGCACCAGTCGGACTCTGGGCGGTGTGAAAAGAGCCGGAGCTAAACCGAAGAACCGGTTCTGAACCTGAAAAGCTCTAGCTCGGAGCTTGAACCGGAGTTGCGTTGGTGTGAATGAGAGAGAGGGGAGAATGAGTTGGACACAGACAGACGGGAAGAATTGAACTCGAGGGTGGCTCAGGAACCGCCAGTCTCTCTGACAGGAGGAGGCCTTGCCAGGGAACATATCGAAGCTAATTTGATGTAATACATATCATTGGAAATAAAACATGGGCTTACTGGACGTTTTTTTCCTTATGTTACATACAGTAGCCATCAAGGGCATTAATGAGAATCCACCTTTGATGATTGTGAAGATTGGTTCAACCTTGAACCTCACAATATGTCCAAATCCTTAAAGTACACTGCTGTGTGACATCTACTAAGAAATCTTTCTGAGTCAACCACAGAGTCATATTCCACAAAACGTCTTTTTTCATCTAACATCTGTTCAATGCCACACAATGTTATGAAACGTCCCAGATTGTCTGTGTCCTTGGAACAATTTTTGAGAGACAGTAACATCTCATAAGTGCTGATAACAGCTCTGACATGGGTTTTTTTATACCGAAAGGGAGTTGTATCTGTTTGCATGGTGCTAAAAATATGCAATTACTTGAAAGAGATGCTGTCAACGTGAGCTATAGGTTTAACATTTTCATTATTATATATTAATGTAATGTGATCCTAGTGTAATGGATAATACACTTTGTTGTGTCCCTGGTCCACTTCTATCCTGTTCTCTCTACACAATAGGCACTATTTCCTGTTTCACAAAGCCATGAATTGTTGCATCACAAAATTACAATATTATCCAGGATGTTTTCGCAATGTCTGTTTTTATTTGTTCGCCATAAGTGTAATGATATCGTATGACTGTTAGCCCCAGAAACCCTTCATTCTTTAGGATCCACAGATCATTCGGTAAGATGAATGGTTATTGCAGCGCCCAATTTAAGCAACAAACAACAACAGATACTTCCTTCCTGTTATTATGTATTCATCACGTTGATGATGCTCCTCTGCTGTTGCTGACAAACTCCTGTTATGCTTTGCAGAACATTATTTTCCTTTAATCAATTTTCCTTGTCTCCAGTCTGCATTTTCTGACTTAAAGAGATTGCATTCGAGCACTAGTATTAATACATATCCTCCTTTACTATGCCAAGCGTAGAAGATGGATGCAAAACAGATCTGGGGCGCATTATTCCTTCACCTCCTCAACAACAACGTGCATCAGCTTGCATCATTATTGGGTTTACTTTTTACGCTTGTTGCGCTCAGTGTTATCAGTATTTGTGTTTATATCTCTACCTATTTGTTTGTTTTTATAGCTGCCTACTGCAGCCCTCCGAACAACCCTGTAAACGGCACGGTGCACAGTCTGACGGGCACCAAGCTGGGCAGCACCCTGCGTTTCAACTGTGACCTGGGCTTCCGGCTTATTGGACAGAGCAGTGCCACATGCACCCGCACAGCACAGGGGATCCACCAGTGGAACGCACCAGTGCCACTTTGCCAAGGTGAGGGTTCAATTATAGCCAGAGTTGGAAGAAGTACTCACATACGATACGATACGATACGATAATACTTTAATGTTCAGATCAAGTCTGAAATTTGACTTGCATCACAGCAGCTCCATGTGTAACATCAACATAGACAAATATCAAGACACAATACATGAAAAACAAACAACAATTATTTAACATAACAGCATAATCAATGAGAGAAAACATACTCAAAGAGCCTTCAGCGTGCATTTGATCTGGGATTCAGCTCTGTATTTACTGTGAGGATTGACTGGTGCACAAAGGATGCTTCAATCTGACTTTATGGAATCGCGGGACCCTGTATCTCCGATTAGATTCATATTCTCTGTTCAGAACATGGTTTAGGTCCGAGATGATGGTGTTGAACAGCCTCACTAGGTTATTATGGTATGCTGAGTCATAAAGTCTCTGACAGGGTTGACCAACAATCTTTGAGCAGATTGTTAACAGGTGGAGCAGTTTAGATTTTAAAGCTGTTGACAAACACTTGTACCAGGTAGTATTGCAGTACTGTAGACTAAACAAGATCACAGATGTAAAGAACAACAGAAGACTTTCTCTGCTCGCCCAAAAAGACCTAAGGCAGTGGAGAAAATAAATGCTTTGTTTTAGTACAAGTCTGAAGATGTTCTAAAGTAAGAGTAGAGCTACCAGAGTGTAGAAATACTCCTGCAGGCAGCTACTTTTAATCACTTTGTATGCTGCAGGGTAGTTTGTGAATGTTACCAGGTGTAACTTGCGTCTTAGTTAAGTGTTGTTTATATTTTACATCATTATTCCAAATTTGCAAAGTAATTAAAGGTATTAAATAAATGTATTGGAGTAAATGTTCACTATATACCACTTACTTAACACCACTGATCATAGCAGCAGGTTATTAGAGAGGGTAAGAAGGATGTAGATTGTTAATAAAAAAACATGGATAAAGAAATATAGTCCATTGTTTTATATTTCCTAATTAAGGTGAGGCAAATTACATTTGTAAAATCAGATGGGCAGGATAATTGTAAATGGCTAATGGAAATCAGCTTAAACAAGATTTTCTCTTAATTAAGTTACATTTCGTCAATGTTATCAATTCAACTGAGCTCATCCGGTATATAGTCCGACTTCTCCAAAGTGATTAAATGAAACACTGTGCAGAGAAAACAAGATTTTAACATTCCTAGCATTCTCCTTTACTGATGTGCTGAGTTCAAGAAGACATTTTCTCTTGCAAATTCATTTTGTAAGTTGAAATCGTTATGATTTAAGATGATTGAAAAAACTATCACTGATTCCATTTGCTTTGGATCACAGTGTGATTCCAGCTGACAGTGCCATCACCAACAGCCCCTCAGCCTTAGGCGTGCTTCAAGGAAGCTCACTTCACCCATCCTCAGAAACGCTTTGAAGATAACATTGCATCAGATTAATGATAGTTGGTTTACCTGAGCTGAGGTGTTTGATATGTCAGTCTTGTGGGTTATAGCCACAGGTATCTGCTTGTCACTGTGCAGATTTCAGTGATGGAATGAAACAAAATCAATTTCATACTTTGCACCAGGACTGACACAACTGTGATGCACATAAATATAGTCAAAGCTTTTAAGGCTATCTAATTTAATTTAAAACTGCTTTTCCCCCTAACATAACAAATGTAACTTTAGATTTGACAAGACTGTGATGCAGTTGCACCATCCTTATTGATCTCCAATTTTAGTGAATTATCTATATGTCTGTGTCTGGATTTTCTCTTATACAGAATCACAAAAGCATTGAATCTATTTTCAGAGTCTAGTTTCCGACCAGATTTATTAATAGTATTAACTATGCAATGCCTGGTCAAGTCTGCACCTGGTGTAATTTCCACAATAATTGCTCATGCTCTCTCTGGAGCCTATTGTTTACTCTGGTGCAGATGGCAGCCCGAGCTAATGTTTACTGCACATCAATTGATGCTCCTTCGCTGTGTTTATACAGGAAGCCTATTTTGAGCTTGGCACTGCATACAAAGATAGTTAAATAGTTAGTATACTTTCATTCTAAAAAGCACATGTTTTGACTTACTTTCCAACAAATTCCTCATTCCCTTCTAGTGATGTCCTGTGGAATGCCATTACCTCCGATAAACGGCAGTATTGTGGGCCAGGACTTCTCTCTAGGAGCTACGGCCACGTACCAGTGTAATCCCGGATTTCGCCTGGCTGGGCCTGTCACCACCTCAGTGTCATGTCAGGAGTCTGGGAGCTGGAGCCCCATTGAGACCCCGCCCAGATGTATTCGTGAGTATTTCTCTTACTGTCGGTTTATTTAGCTGCAGTTCCATTGTAACCGCACCAAACACAAATAGGTATTTATGTTAATAATAATTTGTGTTTATCCTTTGACCTTCCAGCGGTGACCTGCCCCGACATCGGCCACTCTGCTGTTGAACATGGGAGATGGAGGCTGATCTATGGCACTCAAAACCAATATGACACTATAATGATGATCATATGTGACCCGGGGTATTACTACAGGGGTCAAATGGTCATTCGATGCCAGGCCAACAGCACCTGGAACTACCCTGATCCACGTCCAGTCTGCGAGAGTAAGTGTAATCTCCATGGTCTTTTTTTCCCACAGTGTGTTGAGTTACGACATAGAGAAGAAAAAGAAAAAAGTAATTGTGAAGCATGAGAGTAATTGCATCCAAATGTACGATATCCCACTGTGATATTAAGAAAAGAACATAACTAAACACGAAGAAATGTTCTAGCTAAAACAAAATTAGATCACATTTTGTTTTAATCTAGATTATATGTAAACCATATGGGAGTGTAACTCGACAAATTGATTTCTCATTGCAGTCATCTCCTGCGGGGACCTTGGGACTCCACCAAATGGCAACAAGATTGGAACACTGACTGTGTATGGAGCCACCGCCATCTTCTCCTGCAACACAGGGTATACCTTGGTGGGCTCTCGGGTACGAGAGTGTATGTCCAATGGGCTTTGGAGTGGATCACAGGTCCAGTGTCTAGGTGAGATCTTCAACACCCAAGAAATGATTGTATTCTTGCAATTAACTTCCAGACGCTTTGTTTGACCTTGACTCTTCTTGAATCCACAGCTGGTCATTGTGGCAACCCAGAGCCCATAGTGAACGGACAGATCATTGGGGAGAATTATAACTTTCGAGGCAGCGTTGTGTACCAGTGTAATCCAGGATTTCGTCTCATTGGTGTGTCGGTGCGAATCTGTGAACAAGCTCACGAATGGTCTGGAAACACTCCTGTCTGTGTCCGTAAGTAACAGAAAACAGCTCGTAATAAGTCAAACTATGGATGATATTGTGTATTTCTTTAGGCTTCTACCTGCTCAGATAAAGTGGGAATCCAGACTTTTATTTTATACTAGGACAACCACCTAGTTAAGAAAAAACAATCTCGATACAAAATAATTGCCAATTCTGTCTCAGCATAATAGTGTTGCTAATAGATCAATAATGAATAGAGACATATATTACCTAGGGATGCCCTTATCAGGCCGTTACCAACTCCACTTTTTGTGTGATTAGACCTGAGCCATCTGGTACTGATCACCAATTAATTCCTGTTATTGAATATTTTTTTTAGAGAAAGCTTCTGCTCAAGCTCCTGAATTAAAATCACATATATATATTTATATATAAAACCCACCTGTGCCTTGTGTCTAAGTTTTACCGTGACATTTTCAAAGATGGGGTAATTATCACAAAATGACACTCTGTATTTCTCTATAATATAATTTGCAAGATTATTTTAATGGAGGCCCTTGGCAAAATTAGAGACATGCAGCGGCGCCTGTCGCTTTAGAGTTTGGATCATTACTCGGCATCTACATTCAGTGATGTGTCTGCACAGCTTTGTTTTGTTGTGACATTGCCAATTGCATTCCAGGGCTGGTTAATCTCGTGTTTGATATGACTTTTACCCTCATTTGTCTGTTTCCTTTTACTTCCCCAGCCATCACATGTGGTCACCCTGGCAACCCTACTTTCGGATCGACCCAAGGAGCCCAGTTCAACTTGAATGACGCTGTGCGCTTTGTCTGCAACACCGGATACGTTCTGCAAGGGGCTGTAAAATCTAGCTGCCAGTCCAATGGGCAGTGGAGCAACGCCCTCCCCAGGTGTAAAAGTAAGTGTCCAGTACATGCCCAAGCTAATCAGTCTATGCATGTATGCGTTTTAGTAGAACCTCATGCCTACTAATGAATGGATGGGATGATAAAAGAACAATCACACATGGAAGTCACTAAATATTAATTATTATTTATTAAAAAGCAATTTCAGGAAAGTTAAAGTAGTGCAATTTGTAATTTGAGTTTACAAATAGCTAATATGAGAGAACCATTAATCATTGTTGTTCTCATGACACCTCCATGAGCAAAAGGTATGCGTTAAGGTTTAATTGCATGATGCATGCTCATAGCACACCAACAGAAGCCAGTCCTGCATTTGTTTATACGTATGTGTGTGCCCTGTGAATGATTCTAGTGATAAATAAGCCAAAGGCATCAACTGTGTGAATAGCTAATGCTCAGTGAACATTGTAATTAAGTGCGGTCGTTTATACGTACTTGTCCAGAGGGGTACGGTTTTGTGCTCTCCTCAATTTTTGTAGGTTAAATTACTTATTGTATTGTGCAAGGTCATATCTTCTGTGACCATAGATGACCCCAATCATAAAGAGAGCGTCGAAGAAGCGCAAAGACGCCCGGGAGGGAGAAGGAGTTTAAACGCTGCATATTAGAGGGAAATTGAAATGAATAGCAAAAGAGAAGACTGGATTATTTAATTACCACACTCTTAACCACTTGTTCCAGTGAGGTTTCAGATCATATGTACATGTGATGTTAGTTCCTCTTTCCCTTGCTATCCCTGTGGCACCCTCTGGCTCACCTGTCCATCAGGGAAACACACTTGGTCCTTAACCATGCAGACAAAGCCAAAAACAATCACAGAATCCTTGAGCCTGTGTGACAGACAGCAGCCTTTGGGAGAGCAGCATCCTGGCTTTTGCTCAGAATAAGAAGTACCCTGCTCTGCGTGCAAGTGATGCAAGGACTCTTAATTTGGCAGTGTTTTTGCGACAAGCCATGTATCACTGGCACCCACGTCTGTCTCTAAGTCCCCGCTAACTGAGGGCTTTGTGACAGCCACAGAAAGGGCCCGCTCGCAAGGTCGGGCCCTGAATGTGACAAGGCAGTGACAGAATCAGTGACGGATTGACTTGTGAGTTTGTTTTAAATGAGCAGAGAAAGGACACGGCCTTATTTTTTAGACATTTAAGGGATGAGGGGGGGTTGCAAGTCCCACAGGAACCCTTCTCCAGTTGTTAAAAAGAGGGAGAAGTACATTTAGCTGCCGCATGAATAAGCAGGCGAGATTTTGTCCCAGACATACGCCTTAAATCTCTCCGCTCGAGTGGTGACATCACATTAGCATTGGCCTTGTTTCCATACAGATGATGACTCTGAGATGCTTTTTGTGTGCCTCTGTGTGAGTGGGGGGGGGGGTTGTGGGTCTAGTTTAATGGCATATTATCCTCACTGTTGATGTGGAGACATAAGAAGCTTAGGGATCTTTTTGTCAATCAGATTTATCTCCCTAATTACAGCATTCTAGACATATTTGGTGAGACATGCACTCCATGTACTTCCTCATCTGAGAGGAAAACTAAGTGCTGGGATGACATCATAGCTTAGCTTGACTATCAGCTTTCCTTTAATAGGTAGAGAGTAGTGGATAAAGAAGGCAGGAAACTAAGGAAGGTAAATTATTCAATCAGTCAAAGTTAATGATTTCTACGGTCCAGATTCTAACTACAATCCTATAGGCTCCATCAATAATGCAGGGAACAGTCTTCTATCCCTCCCTAATCAACACCAAGTTGAGTCACAGCAACAGAGCTTACAACACCGCCTTCTTTGGATGACTCGTGTGTTTATTTGTCTTTCAGCGATAAAAGGCAAGACACACAGGACAGAAAAAACACACTCTGACACACCAATTATAGGGCCGCTGCCTGGCAGGAGGCCAAGAGGAGGATAGGGTTACCGGGGTCTCCTCTTCTGAGTGGAACAGAGATGAATTACCTCAGCCCTTTCCCCCCCTCTCTTTTTTATTATTATTTCCTTTCATCCTTTCACTTCCTCTCTGCCTGCCCACTGGGCCACACACAGAAATGTACCAGGAGGTCAGTCGTTTTAGATGACTGTTGGATCGCTTTTCATTCTATGTTGCCCGCACACATTTATTCAAAGCTGAATTCAGAGCTTGGGAAGTCTCGTACAGAAACAGATCCACTGCTTAAAAAACACTTTGTGGTGTTATTATGCAGTAAGTTGTAAATGATGGCACCACGGGTCAGCGCTCCACTGGAAGGTATATATTATAATAGGTATTTGGGGGTGATTAAGCTGTGCTGGCCAGCTTGGGAGCATAAGAATGAGCAAGCTTTTAGGGGCATTAGCATACAATGGGTTGTTTTTCAGATGTGGCAAAGGCAATCTCATGGAGCAAGACTGGAACTGCAAACTGGTCCATAAAGGCTGCGTGGATATTCTTTTAGAAGCCATTAAGAGTTTTGGCATGATAGTACAGATGCACTTGTGTTTCACAGTATAGACTAGACAGCAACTGTTACACACTGCCTTGTTCTGGCATTGTAAGGTTTGGGTTTGTATCCGATATTCTCAAGATGGATCGGTGCTGGAAGCAGTCGTAGCCTGATATTCTGTCATGAATTTGAATACATTCTGCACCATAAGGGCCTCTTCCTCTCTAACTCTGTCCCTTGCTCCTCATCCATCCTTCATTCTCCCCTTCCCTAACTCTCTCCATCTGGTGCTAAACTGACATGGTGCCTCTTCTCCTGTGTGCTCCCCATCCATCACCATCTCTGCACCACGGCGGCCAGCAGGAGACTGGCTCTAATGAAGCAAATGTTTATTTCCGGAGTGTGCCTCCTACTTCATTTGGATTGGGCTCGATAGATGGGGTAGATGAGGACAGGAATGGACAGAGAGCAAAAACTCTGCTTTCAAAATGGTTCCCTGTGTGTAAGAGGGTGTTATAGCGACTGAAAAACACAAGAAACGTTCCCTTTCATCCGTCCTGCCTATAACTTTTAACAGATAAGCGTCATTAAATCATTACTTCCAGGTTAAAACATTTGTTTGACGCTCAAATGCTAACACGATATGTTTTTAATAATCTGGCTTCTCTGAACTCTTCCCCCCTCTGCACCCCTTTCTCCAGTTGTGAACTGCACAGAGCCGGGTCACGTGGAGAACAGCATCAGGCAGATACTGGCGAGCGGGCCGCACCGCTACAGCTTCCAGACCACTGTGTCGTACCGCTGTAACCCCGGATACTACCTGCTGGGCACCAGCTCCCTGTCCTGTCAGGGGGACGGGACCTGGGACCGCTCCCTGCCAAAATGCCTATGTGAGTATCTCTGGGGTTGGTTGTAAGTGAAGCAGGATCAAATTGTATAAGAAGATCATGGTAAAACTGGTAAAAAAAAGATAACATCTACTCCACCTGAGTCGGCAACTTTTGTACCTTTTTTTGAATTCAGATAATACACTTAATGGCCTTGTTTTGCATTTGTAAAGAATCCCATTGTGATAAATAACTAGCAGTCTTACCTCACTAAGTTGGATACGTTTTTTTTATGAAATATAGTCTGATTCTGTGAAATGTACAACCACAAATCCAATGTCAACCAACAGTATTGCACTCTATGACTTCCCTAAAACAAGTCAATCAATTGAACATGTGGTTAACTGTCTCGTCTCTCTGCTCTGATTGGACAGTGGTGCTGTGTGACCGCCCCAGCATGCCTCCCTACACCCAGATCTCAGGCGACCGTCGGACAGTGGGCTCAGTCATTCGCTACACCTGCATCGGCAGGCGGAGCGTCGTCGGCAACACAACGCGGATGTGCCAGCTGGACGGCCAATGGAGCGGCTCTCCGCCACACTGCTCCGGTATGGAAAACTACACCCAGATTGACCGTCTGCTGTTTGGAAAGACAAAACTAAAAATAACCCCATTATGTGAAAGCCTTCAAACTTTATCTTAAGCACATTTCATTTGAAACTATGTGCCGGTGAAGCACTTTTTCTCATCCTCTTGCTAGCTCCTTGCTCATAAAACGTGATTAATTCAGGTATAATATCACCACCAAGTCACAGTGATGCCCTCATAATGACAGGTTCAGCAAATAAAAGACTTTGGGTGGCAGCTGTTAGCAGGTAATGAGCGAAGTAGGTGGACCAAAGATGGAGCTGCCTCTCTGATCCATAGGCCTCAAGGACAAAGAGACTGTCCTCTATAAAACCGCTTTAATCTGCTCATATTAGACTGAGGAACAGGGGCGCCCACCTCGGCTTGGTTATGAAGCCCTATAAAGACATCGGCCCCCATACTCTCTCTCCTTGCAGTGAATCGCTTCAGAGAGCGTAGTTCACATGAGAAAAGCCATGGGGGTATATACACATGCAAATGTACTTGAGCGCAAATACAAACACATTGACAAAGAAACATACACAAACAAAGACAGTGACACACAAACTGGAGCACAGCTGCAAGCTGACAATAAAATAACATGCTGACAGTTTACTGACTTTCACATATGTTTCAGGGATAGGTAGTGTTTTCTAAACAGGTATTAAACACAACCATTGTTTTTGTAAAGCCTAATATATCAATATTATGTTTTAAAAAGAAAAGAAACAACCCTTTCTGCAATGCTGTAGGAAGTACATATATAATCTACATGTGAGCAATGTTTTTGCTACATGATTACATTTGCATTTGTTGTCGGATTATTTTCCAGGCGATTCTGCGGGGCTGTGCGGAGATCCGGGCACTCCCGTGCACGGTATCCGTCTGGGGGAAGACTTCACGGTGAGCAGTGCTGTCCGCTTCAGCTGTGAGCCCGGCTATCTGCTGAAAGGCTCACCAGAGAGGACTTGCCTGACCAATGGGACCTGGCTCGGCACCCAACCTGAGTGTCATGGTGAGAATATATGGTTACAGTGTGTGTTGTATTTGTATTTCTTCTATGTCATAAATTGACTGGTAGAAGGGGATGGTGGATCCAAGTTTCAGAATCAGGGTTCAAAACATGTTATGCCATTATGCTAGGAGAGCCTGGACTGGTTTCAGGATAATGAGTATGGGTTTCAACCTTGCCTCCTCACCTCTTTATCCTCACATTGATACTGAAGCGGTCATGGGAGTTCTGCCTATAATCTGCATGCGTTTCCTTTTCTTGGTAGCTGTGGGAATATTAAGTACTGAGATCTGTGCTCCTGGCTCTAAATCCTTACAAACCCTAAGCAGGATATGTACGCACACGTGGTGGTAAGTCAAGGACATTCCTATTTAGTGTTGGAGTACAACCTTTAAGGCAAAGGTTAAGCATGCTTGCTATCAAGGAAAAAAGCTTTGAGTAAAACAGCTGCATTCAGTTGATCATAATGCCCTCTCCGATGTACTGTGAAAGTATTCTGGTCACGTCCAACTCGAGACCCCAGAGCAGACCCAGAAGACTTTGGAGAGATTACATATCCCATATGGTCTGGGAACGCCTTGGGATTCCTTAAAAGGAGCTGGAGGACATACATGGGCAAAGTCATGTATGAACTACTGATTAAATTGCCATTATTGGAGCCTAAACCTGGATAACTGTTGAATAATGAATGGAAGGAAGACTTCTTACCCCTAGATTCCACCGGGTCCGTCTGCGGCGCGTTACGGGCGCGTTACGGGCGCGTTACGGGCGCGCTACGGCTGCGCCGCGGTGCTCACGGCGATTGCGGCCACTCTAGTCAAAGGGTGCTATTCCACCACACGCGGCGCGTTACGGCTCAGAAGCGTCCCAGAAGCGTCTCGGCGCAGGGCTCCTCTAAAATTAGGATGAATCCTATTTTTGGCGCGGCGCAGCTGTAACGTAAGGTCGGGCAGGCAGGAAGTGGAACGTTCAGAGCATATATAGCATATATATATATATATATATACACACACACAAACTAATTTTGCAGACCCTATCCCTCCGTAGTCTTTCAAGTAGGAGGAGAAATGCCAGCGTTCTCCTCCGGTTTACAGGCACTGTGTAAATAATATATATAGAATAATTATGATGATGAATGCATTTTTTTTACCACTAAAATACAGCAACACATCTTTGATTCATGTAGTTTATAACTGGAATATTACAGTTATTATTAACTGTGTCTGTACAAAGTAGCCTGTCCAGGAAATATGCCCAAATCAACAAAAACTGCGAGCCGGCAGGCAAGACGCTCCACTTCTGAAATGCTTCTGAAACGCGCCTGGTAGGGTATGAAGCCGGAGGCGGCCGGACCAAAACCGCGGCGCAGCCGTAACGCGGCGCAGACGGACCCGGTGGAATCTAGGGGTTAGGAGCGGTAATGAATGAACACAATGTCTGAACATTTTAGTAACGCGTAAAGATGCCAGCTGTTGAGTTATGATTTTGCAGTAACTAAAGAATAACTAAAGTTCACTGAACTTCTAATGAACCATTGGCATGAATACAACATCTGCCTCTCATTTCCATTCAGTAGCTTGTATACATGTCAGTCTCTAGTGTCTTTGTGTATCCTTTCATTCCTCCACTGGAATTCTTTTTAATAATAATATTAGGATTAATATAGGCCAACATGTTTTCATTGTAGCCAGATATCTTGCTGATAAGTATGGATATCATCATCTCTACATTTTAGTGTCTTTTCAGAGCTAGCTGATCTCAACAAATCCTATCAGTGAATTGCATATTTCAAGCTTTATATTGTGGCTAATAATATAGTCCCTGATTGTGTAATTATCTTATGCCTTTGAAAATGTAATGAAAGGCAAATCGCTCATTTGCATGTGTTTGTGTGAATTTGCAAAAACGTAAAACAGTGATTGAGCAAAAGAGGATGTGCGAAATAACAGTGAAGGTTTTGATCAAACTACAGAAGGTTATTCTTTTCCTTTTTTCACCCGTTTGTAACATCGCCTCCAGTCTGCTGTTGACTGCTGAAGAAGACAATTCTGTAAATGTGTAGGGAGTGTGCGTCTGATCGATATTGGTCGAAAGGGCTGATACGATCCATTATTATTGCAGAGAAAGGACAGACATTACGAACAGTGAAAGAAGTATAAGGGTGCAATTATCTTTCTACTGTCAAACATCTTTCATGCAGCAGCAATTTCAAACATTTTAACTCATCTCCTAGCAGCAATAACATTAAAAAAAACATCGATAATCTTGCTGTATTCCACCTTCAAGAGGGCCAGTTTATCTGCAGTTATATTGTATTTCTTTGTCCCTACCCTTGCTTACACTCCAAACACACACACACACACACACACACACACACAACCACCTCTCTCTCCCATGCATCACGCTGCCTTACTCCTTCTCTGTTGTGTGGTTTGCCGAGGTTCCGCACCTGTTCTCGGTTGGCACAGACTTCAAGGGCCAGGCCACATCTGGTCATTACGGGAGGGTGAAGCCCACGAGGCTCTGAGGGCCCGGGGCAAGCTGGAAACTGTAATGAACAGAACCCTCGCTGGCGGCTGGACAGACACCAGGGGACTTAGTGAGCAAAGGATGTGCCCATCAAAGCAGAGCTACTTATGGAGTAGGACGCAGGGGAAGACGGGGTGTCGGTAGAGTGTGTCCATGAAGAATAGAAGTTAAGGGAAAACCAACCGTGTTAGGAACACATAGCACACACATAAAGGATTGAAAAAGGAATGTATTAGAAAACCAAGCTCCATTTGGTCAAATGTACAGAATACATTGTATTCAACTACATACACAGAACCAGGTAAAGTGTTAATCAATTGCTACAGGATCTTTTTGGAGAAATAAACCTTTATAAATCCTTGTGAAATATTTGAGTTGGAGGTTAATTTCTGGTAATCGCTGAGGTGACATATAAATGAGTTTAAAGAATACTTTCATTGGTAAATTGCTATTAATTTCCTTGGCTTATGAGCATACCTCTTTTCAAATATTATCAAAGGTTGGTAGGTGGACAGGTTGGATAGAGAGATTAGTGAATGGAAACATTGAGTAAAATGTTATCTGTTGGTCTTACTTTTTCCAAAAGATGTTCAGATGAAGTCTGCAACTGATATTTTCCAACACTCCTCAACCCCCTTTCTTCTCGGAAAAAAACACACCACACACACACACACACACACACACACACACACACACAACTACTGTGACTTAATAATACCTAATACTCTGCTTCCCTCTTGTTTTCTCTTTTGTCTTCAGTGATGTCCTGTGGAAACCCGGGAACTCCAAGGAATGCTCAGATCCTGATCCACGATGGCCTAACCTTTTCCAGATCCATTACCTACTCCTGCAGGGAGGGCTACTACTCCACCGGCCTGCTCAGCAGACACTGCACCGTTAACGCGACCTGGACCGGCAACACGCCCGAGTGCTCCGGTAATTAACGGCTCCTCCAGAGACAGAACCAAAGTGTATCTATGTATAGTTGGAACGCTTATATTTTTCCCTCATGGACATAGAAGTTCATGCTCCAGTTGAGGAGGCTTTTCTGTTTCTTTTTCTTATAACAGGTGTGAGTTGTCCCAACTGATGGCCTCTCATGTTCATTTGTACTGTAACTCTAGTTTTAAATGTGATGAATGATTGTGAAATCAGTAGGATACATATCTAGACCTTTTATAAGATGTGAGTACAGGTAGTAAAGGTAACATGATGCAAGAAAATATGAAAGAAATTGTAGTAGATGTTCTTTTGTGTAACTCATTACTCATGCGGATCTCTGGCTCAGTGAGAGAAATTGGTTTGAGGCCTGTTCCAGTCCGCTGGCACAGGCCTGACTGTCAGACTTTATCCACATGTTTCACAAAAGGCACTCAGGTGCTGTACAGAGCGGAGAGACCCCGGCAAATAGAGGTCACCAAGAGAAGCAGTTTCTTCTGAATGGGGAGGATAAACCCTAAGCACCACCATTATGGATTTCAATGCACTGTAATCCATCCAGGAGTGAAAGGCTACATGTTGTCGCACATTGGTAGAGCACCTTTAGTGTGAATAGGCCCGCCCCCTAAAGGATTTCTTCTGATCTGATTTTAACTGTATGTTAAAAGAGGATTTACCTCATTACCTGACATGGGGGGGCTACAACAAGTGCTATTTGGGTAGCTGCCTTGCTCTATTTTTAGCTTACTGTAGCTTGTGTATCCATTTCAAATATAAAAAAAAATGTTTCACTGAGTTAAATATTTTTAGCAAATTAAGTCGTGCTTATAATTATAATATATATTTATACATTTTCTGAATTGTATTGCTTTATTTACATTGGGTTTCTATGAGGACATTTTTGTTCTCTAGTTTTGAGTGTCTGTGGGTGTTTCTCAATGTTGAGGTCGCTTCCTTGGTGTCTTCCGAGTCACTTCCTTCAGAAGCTAGGCAAGAATCCTTCCTGGCATTCGGAAAAACGAAGAGTGGAACAGGCGAGCAAGTGTGCAGGTGTGCGTCATATGCGAGGCCCCGCCTTCAATTTTACGCCACAGCTTTTGGGAAATTGGTCCGCGCGCAAAGCATTGTGGGGATTTTAAGACCGCGGAGGATACACATGTGCAGCCTCGACATGTCTCGCTACGAAGGACGCCGGGCTCGGTAGAATTCCAAGGAGCCTGGACATTGGAACAGTCATTCGGCGGGACTCGATGACGTAGCATCCTTGAAATAGAGTAGAATAAATCATATTCTTGTCAAAATTTGCGAAGATTCTATCTATATTCTATATTTATTAAAACATTAAAAAGCCAAAAATGTGCCAACAAAAGTGATGCATAAGGGTTCAAAAACATTTGAATCCTATAATGTCATGTTCCAAAGCAGTGAGTGGCACTTTTCTAGGAAGTATAACAACATAGTTATACAAAAGGGGGAAATCATCTCACTGTATCTCAGCCCTGTAGGTATTGTTACAGGATACACAGTCCTAGAAAGGCATTATGGCTCCAGTCGACTCAGTTCTACCAGCCCGGTGGGAAATCTCTAAGTGCTTGCTCAGTGAAGGGGAGACGATACACCTCAAAAAGGCCCGGTTTGCTCACCCTGCTGGGGATTCTTCTAGGAATCTTGGTCATATGCATTTAATAATTCCTTGTTGTCCCACTGCAACATAGCACAAGTTGTCCTTCTGTGCCCTGGATTTTCTATCTTAGTCATATACACGGCTATGAAGCTGCTGAGTCACACAGTGGAATTCTCTCTGTTGTTCCTCAATCACACTGTTTTCCCCGCAGGATATTAAAATAGAATCAAGGAGAATGTGGTTTGTTTTGATGCATAAGGGAGCCACAGTAGAGGGATACCCATCAAAGAGTCTCTCTGTACCCTAAAAGCTCTAAACTGGAGAAAAAAGTGCACTGATCCTTCATATAAAAGATTAAGTCATACTGTCAGGGATATCATTTGAAGCAGAGATGCATCGTAAGTCATATTTGTAAGCATATAAAAATAATACGCATATTATCCAAAAGTGATAATTACCTGTAAAGACACGTGAACTTTGCTTTTTTTTAGATTGTTAAGTTTTGTGTGTGAGTTAAACTGCCTATGTAATAAAACAGTTCATTAACTCTGAGCTCCATCCAGTGAGCCACTTTAAATAGTTTGTTTACTTGCTGGTATTTATTACAGTTATTTTTATCTAACTGTTTGATAACGATCTTGTTCTTTACATCGCACAATCCAATGGGAAACTAAATTATCAGATACTTTAGCTCAAACAGAGTAAAAGAGCAAACTGACTTTTCTTTTGAATGTATTTTTCATTCACCTAAACAAACCACAATGTCTGTCTGCTTTCATTTGATTATACTTCTGTATCCTGTTATGTTTCTGCAGTAATACACTGTGGTGACCCTGGAGTGCCAGCCAACGGGGTGAGGTCAGGCAATGATTTTACATACAACAACACAGTGAGTTACCAGTGTACTCCTGGCTTCACCATGGACGCTGACAGGGCCTCGACTCTGAAGTGCACCAAGGACCGCACCTGGAATGGCACCAAACCTCTCTGTAAAGGTAGAGTTGTGTAGAAGGATGTAAATGACAATACAGTGATGTAGTGCTAACATCTAGGTATACCTGTATTCATAGCTGTGGCAAAAATGGCTCTCTTAACTAAAAGAGAGAAGAAACAGCGTTGGTCAGATTCAGACCAGGCCGTTACGGTTATGACCAAGCGTTATCTAAATTATATGTTGGAATATTGAATAGCCAAATCATTTTACAATACATTAAAACCTTAATGTAAAATAAAAACTGCAAAATACCCATTTAAATGTATGTTATGTTACTGCATCTGAAAAAAGCAATGACATGTACGGCTAGATTGAGATGAGAAAGTACATGAAAGGAACGAGTAATTATAGAAGGCTAGAACAAATGAATCTTATACTTATACTTGGTCTAAAAAGTATCACATCATTCAAACCAGTATACAGAATCCATGAAGTCCTGCAATGTCTCTTTGTCTCCTTGCAGCGATCGTATGTGGTCCAGCACCGATCATCCCTAACGGACAGGTTGTCGGTACAGACTTCATCTGGGGCTCGAGCATCAGCTACTCCTGCAACCAAGGTTACCAGCTGTCCCTGCCCACTGTGTTAACCTGCCAGGGCAACGGCAACTGGAGTGGAGAGAAACCCCAATGCTTCCGTAAGTGGCACCACGCTGCAACACTCAATTATATTATACCGATAATTGATGTGTCTTTGGCTTGACCTTTACCCAAGCATGTCCATAATGCATGTCCCATGTGTGACATTTCACCCCCTTGGAAGATATTGGATTTAAAAGCAACATGGTTACTGGGTCCTCTCTCATTTCCCATGTTCCCTTCTTCTTTATCTTTGCAGCTGTGTTCTGTGGCGACCCGGGGATGCCAGCCCAGGGGAGGAGGGAGGACCGAGGATTCACCTACCTCTCCTCTGTCTCCTTCTCCTGCTTCCCTCCCCTCGTCCTTGTGGGCTCCACCAGAAGATATTGTCAGTATGACGGCACCTGGAGTGGCACACAACCCTCTTGCATAGGTAAGCTACTTTACCATTACCATTACCATAACATGTCACTTGTTAGACACTTTTATCCAAAGCGACTTAGATACACTCTGTGGACAATCCCCACAGGAGCAACTTGGGGTGAAGTGTCTTGCCCAGGGACACAACGGTATGCTGACTGCAGTGGGGATTTGAACCTGTGCCCGCCTGACCTAAAGATCAGCGCACTAACGCACTCAGCTACAGCCTCCTACTTGTTCGTTTTTTTAATTATAAGAGGTCGTACTGTGCTTTTTGGGGTTTTTCCTTTGTACATGTAAATGGTCTGCAAAGGTTAAAATCCCAGTTCCTTACAGTGGGAGTTTCTCTCTGAAAAACTCCCCCCTGCCTGAAATCCCTTCGATTGGACTCCTTTGTTTACTTGCGTGACATAATGACACTTGCGCTTCTATTGGCTATTGCTCCAACACACTAAGACATTGACCAATCACAACAGAGCAAGCCAGCTAACCAATCAGAGCAGACTGGGCTCTGGTTTCAGACAGAGGGTGAAAAGAGGTGCCGCAGCACAGGCAGTATGAGCAAAATAAAGAGCTTTTTGAACATTAAAGCATGCAGACATGTCACAGTAGAGACACTACATACACACACGAACCTGAAAATCAGCATGATAGTGCTGCTTTAAGGTGTAGTCTGACATGTTGTTAATGATGGAACACAGCACTTTGATGTAAAAATCAAAGTAATAACTAACAGGCAGGGCTACAGTGGTTGTTGGCAACAGTGTGCATGGCCTGGGGCCTTGTTCTATAACCAAAGCACAGAACATAAAGCAATATGCCTTTACTTTTATATAAGAGAGAAGCCTCCCATTGGCTGGCTTGTGTTCTGCGTCCTTATGTTCTCCCTTGTTGTCCTGATTGCCTTTCGCAATCAAGTACTAATGCATGCAAAAGCCATTTAAACCAGCTAACAAGCTATATTGATTCTGTTCTTTCCCATTCTGATCTGTGTAATGAATTAACCCAACAGAGAAGGTTTACTCCACCTGTTTCAGAATACTCTTGGATGTAGACATAATGTGGAGAAACTGTAGTTCTGGCATTGCAAGACTGCACCAGGAGCACATGTTACCAAATGTGCAACATACAAGCGTTCATTTGTAATGTGAGATCAATTATTGAGGCCAACGCTGCACTTGTGACCCATGCATGAGGACAATTTGTGACTTATATGTAAGCAGAACTTTCAAAACATCTTTATGTAACTGGCAGTATCAAACTTTTATTTTGCCTTTGTCATCACAAAATATTGTTTGCTGCTGCAGTAAACATCCCCCAAGCAATAAACCTTCTTAAAAAAGGAAGAGCACTACCGATGACTTACACGTTATACATTTGGAAGCTGTAGTAAGAAGCACTCAAGGAAATCACACTCTCTTGTCAGAAACAAATTTCCAATGAAGTACAAAGTATTGTTTCAGCCCTTTGGATCATTGTGGTATTTAAAGTCTTGAAAAATGTGCGCTGATTACAACATTTGACCTTAGAACACTTCGTTTAACATTAGTTAATTATGGCAAAAAACTGTGTTTAGCCTTTCACCATAGTGCCTGTCATGTGAGAGGTCAACTAAGATGTAGTGGTTATGTAATCGATTTAAGATAATATGAATCTTACAACACTTTTAGTTGCTATCAATGTACTCGTAAGGTCTCTTTTCATTTAATTTAATCGTTTATTTGAACCGGGACAGTGCACATTAATGAACATTTTAAACAAAATAATGCTTTCAAATGTAAATGAGCCGGATTTTAGCTTTGAGCTAATTTCCATCCGTAGTCCCGTCACATTTTGTTCCACCTTTAGATTATACAATGGCTAAAACAATCCTCTTGTAAGTGACAAAAGTTCAATTCCTTCTTGAGTTAGTTAAACATTCAACTCACAGGAGGAAAGGTCATTTTCTCCCTGGCCTATTGTCGGTGTCTTACCCACTGTAGGCTGCAGTAAATAAAACGTTCATGCCCAACATTTGTTTGGTCTGATAACGGCTGACAGTGTATCATTGTTGGCTGGTCTGAGCACGGATAAAGTGTTCAGTTCAATAAAATAGTTTCTAGGAATTATCTATGCGAGTGTTTACTAAGAATGAATGCATGTGTATGAGTGCATGGTTGTCCTTCACTGCTACACTCAGTATTTCAGACAGATACAGTATGTGAAAAGAAACCATTTCCATGCTGTACCTAGCTAATTCAGTTATATATCTGTTTGTAGTGGATGCATTGTGTAAAATGTGGCATACTTCTTCCTTTGAGTTGAGTTACATCAGATGTGCTGTTTGTGTGTTTCAGATCCCACTCACACTACCTGTGGAGACCCCGGCTCGCCTCTCTTTGGAAATCAGAACAACTCTCAAGGCTACCAGGTATGAAAAATGTGTTCATACCGAATTGAATACATGTATTGAACAGAAAAATCATGAGCTTTTTATATAAGCAGGAACATTCATTTGCTAGTTTTAAAAATCATGATCTTTTTTATTTTTTTATTCTGTACCTTTTATTTGCCACATTGTAGACCTTAAAGGTGGGGTAGGTAAGTTTGAGAAACCGGCTCGAGATACACTTTTTGTTGTGCTTTGACAAAAAATCCATTAAAAAAATTCATCTGTGGAAGCCGTAGTACTGTAAAAAGCACGACCAATCATTTTAGCCGGCCCGGCTAAAATAACTGGATGGCCTACCTGCCTGCCTGACCAATCTCGTGCCCTCATTGGTCATGTGCGCGTTCGTGTGTGTTGGAGGAGGGGCTCTGTAAGGAAGTGGCAGATTTTTTTCCGGCTGTGTATTTTCAAATTCTAGCGCACTCGAGCTGGTTTCTCCAAAATGACCTACCCCACCTTTAAAGTTGAATAAAGGACTAGCTCAGTATCACTGTTAGGAGAAAACTATCTTTTTTATTTTCATAGTTAAACTGTGACACAGTCAGTGGCAGATCAGAATTACTTGGATGTCCTTTTATTTTGTACAGATGTATGGCAGCAACTTGTATTCATTATAGTAAATCTGCTAAATTTGATTGAAAATTGTCCATTGTTAATGTACGACATTTCAAAAAGAATGGTGAACACATTCCCATAACAATTTGTTGAAATGTTTAATTTTTTAACCAAAAGTCCACAACTAAAAACAAACATGACACAGAGAAATCCTACCACATATATGATTATAATAACATATTCTTATCACATGTTTGGACTAGCAAACCCCCCCAAAAATGTATTTCACTAATCAAATAGACTGCCTCTTCTTTCTGTACAATCCTCTTGCTGTTATGCATAATACACTTTTTCTGTTCCTGGTCTGGTTTCACATGCTCACGTGTGTCCTCTTCCAGATCGGCAGCATTCTGTTCTTCAGCTGCAGAAAGGGCTACTTACTGCAGGGCTCCATCTCTCGCACTTGTCTGCCCATCCTCACTTGGAGTGGTTATCAACCTGAGTGCATTGGTAAGTACAGAGTCTGCCTATATTAAAAAAAAATAAAAAAAACATGAGTTATTAATTATTAGGCCCAACATCCAACTTTTTCTTCTGTCCCTTTAATCCTTCTCTCCCTTCTTTTCTGCAGCCCACCACTGCAGCCAGCCGGAGATGTCGAGCCAGTCTGATGTGAGAGCCATCGAGCTGCCGTCCCTTGGCTACACGCTGATCTATACATGTCAGCCGGGTTTCTACTTGGCCGGAGGATCAGAGCATAGGACCTGCAGGTCCGATGGGAGCTGGACAGGGAAACAGCCTCTCTGTGAAGGTATACACATGTATACATTACATCCCTAAGGAAACATGGAGATGATATTAAATCTGCAAACACATGCACCCTTTTTGCTTTTGCCACTGTTACATTTCTACACAAAGCAATCATAGATACATTCACAGGAGCTTATAAGACCACAGACTGTCACACACAGATGTATTAAACACTTCATCCCACATTTGTATTGTACCGTTTCCATTAGCAGTCTCCATTGAAACCACTTGGGTCCGTACTGTGCAGACTCCAGCGGTGGGAAATTGGGGATTGAGCTAATGTTGATAAATATCTGTGTTAACACTTGCTTATTCTCAGACACATGCCAGAGCAGGATGGCCCATCTATCACAACATGGCAGAGCATGGAATTGCACACACACATACACACAGACTCAGACACACACACACACGCTTTGAAACATTAACAAGGGTGAAGAACCTGATTAGGCCAATGCATCCCATTGATTAGGTTAGCAGAAGTACCTCCTATAAATGGCGAGGCAGCGTTAACAAGATCTCGCAGACAAATAGACTGCCATTAAGACACCCCCAAGCATTGGCCTAAATACATATAGGAAAAAAATAGAGTCATCGACCCACAATTATCGAGGTTAGACAAATGCTAATAGCTTAAAGAGAAAGACGTACTCAAGGGTGGCTTCCATACGATGGATCCTGTGCCGAGCCGCTGCTGAAATATAGAGGGTGATGGGTATTTTTTAAGACAGTGCCATTAAGACTGAAGGAAAGAAAGTGAACTGGCCTTACCGTATGCAGGATTTTAACAGCGCCTGTGGGTGCAGTGATGGAGGGGAAGCTCAAAAGAGTGGCAGGTGATAAAGTACACAACAGAGGGATGGTGTTTGTGTCTGTTTGCATTCATCCAAGGTGATGTTTATGCTCATAAACCACCATCAGTATACCTGTCTTTGTTTGTAGTTGCATGAAAACCCTCTTCGCTATGTTTGTCTGCGTGGGTGTCTGTTTACTACTGCGGTGCAGTCCTGTGGCCCCGTGTGAGCAGTAAGGCATTATTAAAGTGCTTCCCCTCGAAGCTGTGAAACTGTGTCTCTGCCCCCACAGGGACCACCCGGGCTGCTCTTTGACAGTCAAGTCCTGTCGCAGGCAGGCCTCACTCTGTCCACCGCATCGTTATTAGTCATGGAGCCAGACAGAAAGTGCTGATAGTGACATCCTCCCACCTCAATTATCATAGGGCTGCTAAAAAAGAAAAAATGTCTATCTTTACTTACTTAGGCATTCTCTGTACCTGTTTACAGGATAAACTTGTTAATTAGTTTTTGAGTTAACTCTGTGTTGTTGTGCTCTTCAGCTGATAATCGCTCAAGTGGTAACAGCCCAGTGACAGTGCAGGACCCACCCTCAAAGTTACCAGGTAAGACTTGTGCTTTTTCACAAGCTTTAACTTGTATTTGTTTCAAATTGTGTCTATAATTAGTTTGTCTTTGTTACTTTGTGGGACACTGAAGATGTTGTAGATTTTACTTCTGTTAAGTAGATGGGGGATGATCATCAAAACAAGTTACATGTTTCTATACTTTGATTTAAATTACAGTAAGTGTCATGATTCACTCCCACCACTGCTAACTTACCCTGTTATCTTTTGTTCACTGACTCTGTTAAGCCTAAAGGCAAACGAACCAGTGAAGTCGCCTGGCACCAAGGACTTTTTTGTTCGCTAAAATATCATTTTCTTTGCCACCTCTATCTCCACCCGTTGTCTCTTTTAGTCCCTCTTGGGGTTTTCGCTAAGAACTCTCTCTGGAGGGGCTCCTATGAGTACCTGGGGAAGAAGCAGCCAGCTATGCTCAGCATCACTGCCTTTGAGCCCTTCAGCAACCGGGTTAACGGGACGCTCATCGACCACAGCGGAGTGGAACTCAAACTGTCTGGTTGGTACTCCAAAAGCAGAAATCACTGTCAAGACGTTCAACACACACACATACACCTTCAACCTCATACCAGAGAGCTACTGGTTTTTATCCAAACGGACAATGTCAGAAAAATGTCAATGATGCAAGGAAAACAGTGCGGTCTCAGCATGGAGGAGATCAGTGCAGCAGTTACTGAACAGCTTTTATTTTATTTCCTTGTGGCATAATCACCCTGCAGCTGTGGTCATTATGACACACATTTGCATCCTGTCGGCTTGGACACTTCACTCCATTGTACCTGGAGTGAAGTGTCCAAAAAACACTATAAATGTCCACACTGTGAAGTAATGCACAATATACAAATAACCTTGCATTATTATAAAATCATACAGAATTAGTCTTCACCTTCAAATTTCCCAGATACTATTATCGATAGAATCGCCTCATTCTTGTCCAGAAACATAAATCACATCAGTAAGCCACACTTTTGCACGAAGTGACACTAGTTAGGCTAATAAATAAGGGGAATAGGTAATATTTCATTATTTTTGTATTTACTCTCCATAGTTCATTGAGTGCAAGCCCTCATTTACATTCAGATGTTACCCCTCTGCGATGGAATGTAGATGCTTATATTGCTACAGAAGTTTTCTTTAAGACTGCATCAAGATTTTTGTCATAGATAACTAAAAATGGCTGCTAGTGGAAACACAACATGATAAGGAAAGGCGATGCCATGATCAGAGGATGTATCAGATTTAGTTTAAATCCCTGTACGTTTGTAGATTTATCAGATAATCCTTTTGAGTTGGTGTATTTGTGGTTTTTGCTGCAAAATAACTGTTAACCATTTCTTCTTGTAGGTACGTTTAAGAAGGAGGAGGCTCAGCTGCTGCTGCAGGTCCACCAGATCAGAGGCCCTGTGGAAATCTTTGTCAACAAGTTTAAAATCGACAACTGGGCCCTAGACGGACATGTAAGTGCAAGTCCAGGGTCGGGTTCAAAACAGCACCTCTCTGTAACGGCAGAGATGTCACATCACACAAACACACACACCTTTTATTGTGAAATATGCACGAGCACACATACACACTAACCTTGTCACTCTGGGGAGATGGAGGGCCCACCAAGAGTTTTCTCTTTAATTAAAATGTCAGTTAAATCATTGCCTGGTAATCAGGACTCGACAGACCCCCTCCACTCCTCTTCCCCCCCACCCACCCCCCGTTATCCCCCCACCACAGCCACCTCTAATGCACACCCACTTCGGATATAATTAAAAAAGCAGGTCACAGTAAATGTGTGTGTCCCACTGTGTAGGTTTTTATGTGCATGTTTCACAAGCCTCGCAGCACACAAGTGTTTACGTACTAGCATGCTGCACAGAGAGGAATACTCCTTTTGTGTAAAATGCTGGTGTGTGAGTAGCAGCGCGGCTGAGTGTGTTTATGTTTGCGCTCTTGAGCAGAAAAATGTCATATAACATGTCAGCCATAAGAGCACCTCTCAGCTCCTTTGACATGATATTTCATTTCTGCGTGCACCAGCTGCTGACACTTTGATGATACTCTCCTTTGTAAAGCCAGGATGTGACACATAAAGTGACTGTCTTCCATCCTCTCTCCCTAGGTGTCCTACATCTCTTCATCCAACTCCTTTGTGTACCAGGGATTTGTCAGAGGAAAAGGCTTTGGCCAATTTGGTCTCCAGAGACTCGGTGAGTGAGCCGTCCACTTGGATATAGAAACATCTATGACCAAGCGGTCTCTTTGGGGACCACTGTAGGTCCATGTTTTTTCCTTTATAGATTTCTATCACTGTAATCTTTCAATTAAACTCTGCATGGCATCTGTATGCCCTGCAGCAAGTGCTTTTATAACATATATATGTACCTTCACAGATGTGAAAACACTTGTGGCCAGTGTGGCTTTAAACTCAGCATTCATTGCGATACAAAAACAGTTCAAACACATGATGAATTGTCAGAAAATGATTTCTTAACACACTTCACCCACATGACACAGCTACAGAAAAGCTTTCTCTTGGAGTTTGTGGCTAGTGCATCATCGACGTGGGAGTTTTTGCCAAATCAAGTAACGCCACATCTTGCAGATTGTATATAGTGAATATGACCCTTTAATTGCTGTGTGTCATTCTTTAGTTCCCTTCAGAGCCCTCTGATATGCTGTCTTACTGTAGATATAGAAAATGTTTTCAAAAGACTGCTGCCAAACAAATATCCACTTCATGTTTGTGACCTATAAATCCAACCCATATTATCCTCCTCACTACAGTTTGTATAGAGCCACTGCTTAGACCCTGACTCAATAGTTCTGCATGCTGTTGGAGTTGTGTGTGTGACATCATGTCCTTTTATTAACGTTAGTTTGATGCCCTTGCTATAGCAAAAGCTCACTCCCTACTCTTCTGAGCTAACTCAATGAGGCAACATGAAAAAATAAAATGATATATGTAAAGTTCGAAATATGTTGCCAGGCATTTTTATTTAGTGAACTTTTCTAAAGATAAGTGTTGAAAACAGATGGATGCTTTCCTTTTTATTCTATGTATTTGATGTTTGCCACTTCACAACGTTAGTAAACTGCTCCCAACCACTGTTACGATCCAGATCCATGGTTTGTTTTTGCATAGAAAACATATTAATTGCACATCATTTAAAACTCATGCCAGATTGGAGTGACTCCATATTGTATGTAAAGCAAACTGAAGATAAATAAGAAGTGCACGTGCAAAAATAAATCATATTGGGATGGAATTGACCAGTGGAATTGGTGTTACACACAGATTAAGTGTGTTTGTGATTGGTGAAAGTTGTGTGAGCATAGTGAATAATGCCATAATGAGAGAGGTGCTTGAACAGCAGGTGCAAAACCCATCGCCCCCCCCCCCCTCCTGCACACTGTGCAAACAGCTCTTTATTAATACAGAGGACTGGGCCTGGTGCCAGGACAGTCATGTGTATGTGTGTTTAAGTGTGTATGGGAATAAAGTGCATGGTGGCTGGGTTGGATGTATTGGAAATAATTATTTTCAATTTGTCAAGATGTCCTTTCTTTCTTTTGTTGGTGGCGGTGTAACATTGCGTGTGTTTTCTTGCGTGAGAGTGTCTGTTTGTGTGCTTGTGCTCTACATTGGGGAGTTGATTGGCAAACATCACAGAACCCCCTAATTGAATTCCTTCTTGTTCGTCACTCGTCCTTTATCTGAGCTTTTTTGGCATTCTGTGGCAAACAGGTGGGCTGTCACTCCTCCACTGTTGCTGCAACACACACACACACACACACACACACACACACACACACACACACACACACACACACACACACCTGCATAAATTAGAGAATTAATTTGAAATGACTAAATGGCTGTCGGCATGTGATGTCAGTAATTAAGAGTCATTTTTAGGATGATGGAATTTGACGTTCCCAGGGGGTAAATGAAAAAAAAAGGATTGTTTTATTCCTGCTTAGTCTATTATATATAGGTGGAGCCTTCCTGGCAGCATTATAGATATATTTTATTTTATTATGTTACTGTTTCAGTTTAATTTTCCTTAAGCGCTTATCTCAAGTTCTTGGCAGAAGGCAATGAGGATACTTTTCATATTGTTTTGATAATTGTGTTATTTATGGGATTTAATTATATCGTCTACTGCTGATATGGTATTGTACTGAAGTGATGCTAATTGAAGCGCTCCATGTCTTATCTCTTTTCTTGCAGAGAGTTTAGATCCCAGCGGAGACAACACAGGATACAACTTTGCGTCCAACAGCAGCTCAGTGGCGGCAGCCATCCTAGTGCCTTTTATAGCCATGATCATTGCAGGCTTCGCTCTGTACCTCTACAAACACAGGTACGCTTCACACTGTTGCCATGGTTAACATCACTCGCCACCTGCTTACAACATTTCCCTGGTTTATTTTGTATTTGCAAGGAAGCATCTTAAGTCAAGTTTTAATTTGCCTCTGCAAAGCACGCTGTTTTCAGATAAGATTCTTGCTTAATTTCTCTTAAGATTATTTTGCATTCAGGCTTAAAAATACATCAGTTGAAAATCGAATCGAATTGTTTTATCTGCTGATGCATACATTATGGAGAAAACTCTTCTCACAGCCTAGAAAACAAACGGGTTCATAACAGTGACACAGGCAGCAATTCAGTATAGCCAAATCCATACTGAAGCACTTGATTCAATATGGATGATAAAATGTTTTTTATTATTTTATTATTTTGTAGTTTTTGATATGGGTCAGACAAAAAAAAAGATTTGAAGATGATACCTCAGGTGTTTTTTTCACCATTTTATAGACTTTATTTCACTCGTGATCATTAGTTGCAGCCATAGTCTATAATATATCATATTGATTACACACAGTATATTTAGATATATATGTATGATTTATACTTGACAGGTTGAATTTCCCACATGTGTACCAAAGGTTGCGCCAGACTTTTTCGCTGCCCGTAATTTTGACGTACAGGATCGTAACATTTCCGTCAAAATCCATTATTACCCGTCGGTCTTTACACAACTCTGACGGGGGGGGTGAACTTGTTAGTTCTGTTAGCGCTGGTGCTCACAGACATTTAAATGATTTGTACGGCAAAGTTAGGTTTGGAAACTATATAATTTCCTTTTTGGCGGGCATGCATAACACGGCATAATACCGGAGCCTCGCTGCGGGGAAGCTTTGGCGCTGTTCTGAGTTTGTTCTAATCTTTCAAAATGACGGACTGCTTTCAGATTTTTCCGTCATTGCTAAAAAAAATCCGTCATAGATGGAAAATATTCGGTTACGCGACCTCTGATGTGTACTGATTGTTTATTATATTGATCTGTGTGATGCAGAAGAAGACCCAAAGTCCCCTTCAACGGTTACGTGGGCCATGAGAACACTAATGGACGAGCTACGTTCGAGAACCCGATGTACGACCGCAACATCCAGCCCACGGACATCCTGGCCAGCGAGACAGAGTTCACCGTCAGCACAGTGTGCACAGCTGTATAGCAACCGCTTCCTCCAGAGGTGAGCAGCAAACACCACCAGGTCACATGGCTTTATTCATAAAGTAAGGACTTAGAGCTTCAAGGTCCACATTTCTCTGAAAGTAGATGAAGTTATCACCTCGGGGCAAATTACAAATCTAAGGCATCAAAAGCTATACAGATTCTCAGAATCCAGCCGTTACTAAAACTTTTACACCGTCCCTCCAGAATAGGATAGAACATTTGATTTATTTTTTACTGCTGCAGCTCCTTTGATCTGCATCTCTCATATAAATGAAATCTGTTTTATTGAGTTATACTTTATTAAAAAAGCAAGAATATGTATTGTTTTATTTAGTTTTCAACACTGATGAGAAATAACATGAATGCCTTTGTCTTCTCTTTTCTCTGTGATCTCCCTCATATTCATCTCCTTTCTTTTGGTTACCTTACCTTTTTTCTCCCTTTATCCATCTTTCTGTTTTGCCTTACTGTGTTTCTTTTATTTTCAATCCTATATTCCTTCTCTTCCATTCTCCTACCCTTGCCCTTTTCCTCTCACACCCTTTTAACCCTTCATACCTTACTCCCATGCATTCATCCATGATTCAGTTAGGGGAGGAAAAGTGCACCACATCTTCGCCTGCCTGCCAGAAGAGGACATCCATAGTTCCTCGAGCAGAGGGAAAGACAAAGAATATTTTTATCCGCTGAAATACATTCAAGAAACATCTCCTGTGGCAAAGGCTCTTACGACGAGAAAAAAAAGAAACCATGTGAAGACAACGACTGTAACAATTGCCAACGACAAAATGCTTTTTGTAACTTTACATGGTTTCTTGATCATTTTCCATTTTTCGAGGAAAAAGCTTCAACGTGAAGCTGCAGCCGGCCGGAGAAACGCTGGAAGCAAAGCTGTGATGACTTTTCTCACCGCCCTCCGCCTAAACCCAAAGGGAATTTTATGGTCAACTTGAAGTCTAGAAAATTGACCTGTAGCTAACAGAGAACTCTGTGCAAGTTAACTGTTAGGCGGACCGCACCGTGTCGGCCTGTGTGAGACGAAGAGAGACAGTCTGGACTGTTCCGGTTCTGTTTTCCATTTGCTTTGCTTTCCTCTCTTTTTATGCTGCTTGCTTTCTGTGATGAGTAATTGGGAGCCCTGATTTACCCCAGCTGTCTGCTAGAGGCGGTTGAAATGTTTCATCCTCAAGTCTATGGCTGAGAATTAAGAATTCAGTACGTTTTGAAGGCCATGTTGGACACACACATGCCATCGCTACTTTTTGAGCTAGACTCTGCTCTTTTTTTTTTTAAGCAGTGATGACATTCTGCTTGCAGAGGCAGCTGTGTCCAGAGCAGGGGCTAAGAGGTAGCAAAGGCTGCTGAAAAAGCACTTAGTGAGGTTGTGGAGAGTCGCTGTGCATATGTGTGCTCGTTTCTGCACACATTCCTAGTGGCTGCATCTTCAATCTCCCCAAAATATGTCTGTTCTGGCCCCAAAGATTCCCGTTAACACGACAGATAATTGTACTAACACTTTTCCACATTTATTGAATTTTCTTTTTGAAAGAATCTGAGGATTGGGTTTAGGATTATCAATATACCTGGATGTTTTGGACAAATAAAAAACATAAGGATACTAAGAGCAAAAGCTGACAATGTATAGATCCTCTAAGAAACTGAAAGCAGTGTCACTCTCCTAACGTTCACCCACTTTCTCTTCATTTGTAGTGATTCATGTGCAGTCACTTTACATGTATGTGTCTTTGGGTGACTGGGAACAAGACATGGATAAAGACAAATCCTCCTCGCTAACTAATGCACCTAAATCAGACGTTAAGAGGCAAAACTCCCACCTTTTATTTACATAATAATTGTATGCCAATTTCGTGCCACTGTTGCTTCCTGTTAAGTAAACATGGCAACTGCAATTAGGTTAATTAATGTGGATGTATAAACTTGTGTGGACAACCGCTGTGATCTTTCCCTTTCATTTTCAAAAACATTAGAACAAGTCTGTTGCACCAAACAAGTTACAGAGCAACACATGGAACTTAATATTTTTGTAAATGCTCAAAGTCTGATGTCAAATTCTCCTCTTTTGCCTTCCCGGATCCCATGTTTCTGCAGCTTGAAGGTGGTACGTTCTGTATTTTCTTGTGATTGGTTTGCAGTATGAGCTCCCTAAACTTGGCCTTAGGAAAACAAAGATCAAAGTACGGCCACGTTTGAACTCCCTGAAAGTGTACAAGTGAAGGCGCTTGGGTCTGAAGAATGGATGAGTCAGTGATGTGCTCCCTCTGGATAACATGCAGGTCTTTTCCTCCAAGTTAACTTCTGACAGCTCCATCTTTGTGAAAAACAGTGAAGTTGCCCTGTTCTGTCTCGGCTCATCATGGAAATGTTCCAGAAGGCTTCCTCGGAGCTGTGAGAGCAGGGGAGTTGCTGGCATACTAATTACTCCCATGCATTAAATTGGTTTATGTGAAAGGAAAAAAAAGTGTTTATGCCTCTTATGCTAACACTCCTCAAATCTGTGACAACTGGGGAGTGATATACCCTAAGTATTGTTTTGAAAGTGCGACACAAGAGGGAACTGGCTTCAGCTCTAACAACAGGACTGTACCTCTGCTGGCGAATGAAATTCTGAGAAACATTTATGCTTTTGTGACCCATTATAATGTGTCTAAAATGTGTATTAGTGGTGGAGTTAAAGGAAAGACACCCACTGGATTTCAAACACTCTGCTCCCAGCTATTTGCCACTTACTGTCCCCATTTCTGTGTATCCTGAGCAGGGGTGAATGGTGCTCAAATTTCCCCGCAGCAAATTGACCCATTACATGCAATTTGCTTTCATTAGCCTTGCTTCATTGTCGAACCCATATCAAATCCTAAAATTCACCTTACCATTGCTGCTAACAGGACAGTGGATTATGTAATGTTTGAAAATTATAAAATCAACATTTCTTTGATTTGCCATGTACTTTGTATCTAATTAGTGTTAGAAATAAGGAGAACTATTTCATTTTGCATGGATTTATTTGGGGTAAATTAGCGTATACATTATAATACATTTAAATGCAAAGTGGCTTACACAGTCAAAACAAAACCTCTATACCAATAGAGTCTTTAAAGTCACCTACAGTACATCATTTCCCTCAGAAATCCAGGCTTTTGAAACCAATCACTGCATTGTTCCTTCAATTAGTTTCACCGTGAGTCGGTAATTGCTTTTACAATTGTATTACTTTTAAAGCTCTCGCCTATCTCGACAGTACAGATAGAATATTGCCCCTTGCCTGCTCTGGTCGTGAATTGAGGGAAAAGGAAACGATTGAATTACCCTGGAGATTTCACGGGAAGAGGAGCCGTTGTGCTCACATTATCTTGAAGACACTGTAACTCAGTTCTCATCGTTGTATGCAGCCGTTGCATTGTGCATTTCATTTGTTTTTATTCTGAAGTTGCTCCAAATATTTCAGCTGAGTCGATAGCTTCATTACATTTCTGTTATTTTCGGTTAAGGCCACTCTGAAGTGGTGTTTCCGCTCCATTCATCCCTCCCAGGGCAACGTTTAGCGCACTTCAACCAACACTTTATTAAGCTCTGTTGAGTATTAAATAAAAAAAATCTGATTAGCTGGTGCAATAGGACATGATGCCCGCCGCTCCCTGGATGGAACTTGTCTAATTGGCTAGATTTGGACTGCATATTTGGACATACATAATACAGAAGCATAAGCTCATAGGACTATGATTGTTGTTAACCAGAAAGGGCTGAGTCATGAACAATTCAGAAATGGTTTGAAAAGGCCAGAGCACTTTACATTCATTACAGTGCCTTGGTACGACCCCATGATAAGATGATAGGATATTTATGTCAGATATTGAAATTAGAACTCCTCATTGTTAAGTCCTTGTTTCATATCAACCTATGTAACTCCCACACACAGTCACATACCTACAAAGAAAACTGGGTGAGCTTGTTAGGATCATTCCAGAGAAACTGAACAATCCATTTTTGCCTCTTTTGCTTTTCCTAAAAGAGCAATGAGCTCATTAGTACTGTGTTTCAGTGTGTAATGATTAATGTCTTGGATTTTTCATGCTTGCCTAAATGTTTGGAAGAGTGCTTTTGTTTTGTGTGTTTTTGAGAGTTACCTTTTCTACCAAAGAATGTTATTCAAATCCAGCCAAATTAGAATTAGGCCGATTTACTAAATGACGATAAATTATTCCATTCAGCTTCATTTGGTTTCACTCTTTAGAAACGTTTTTAATGGGCAACAAGGCTTTTTCAAAAGTGTATTCTGCAGAATTGGGAGTTTTCACTTAATGGGCGCTACATTTTTAGAAATACTTTCTTTCTAACCCATCGGAGTTAGTCCAGAAAGTTCTCAAAGAAAGTGCGATGCCGTTTTATGAAAATGAAGATCAGTGAGCTCCGGATGGAGCTGTGCTATAAGAGTTTGAAGAAACTCTTTCTTGATACCGGCCGGCTACTTCCTGGTTCTCTCTTTGCATATTTTAAGACAGAATCTCTGATCATCCAAGGTTCATATTCCGTTATCAGCCAGAGACAGCTCTGAGTTCTCTCCTGCTCACCATCTCCTCTATAATGAAAAAAAAAAGCAGCGATGGTCTTTCAGTTCCCCTCGAGTTCACTGAGTATTCTCACAGACTGAAAGCTTCCCACTTCTTTCTGCAGCTAGTGCTCAAACTCTTCAGCACAGGCCACAGTGTACCAGTATAAAAAAGTGTATTTAAAAATCAAGCAATCCATCTGTCATGCAGTGACAGTGATTCTGCATCAGCCATCATTTGTCATCTCCCATCTTCCATTGTCACCGCAGTGTGGTGACGGCTACAGAAAAGCCACATTCACCTGCTGTTTAGCTCCCATTCCATTTCAGTGTCTAGAGGAAGTGAGCATTGGGGAGAGGATAAAGAGATTTGTTTTGAAAAGTTTGGGAACTTAGCTGATTTGTATTCTATAAATGGATAGAGCAGTCGACTTGTGGTTGGTGGTCAGATCTGGGACTTACTGGAAAACTACTGAATGTATATTTCATTTCTCTTCAGAATTTATCTCTCTACTGTTTTCAATATCTGTAAATCCCACAGCATCTTCTCTCCGTGCAAGAAAATCTGCTTTTTCACAGTGTTTCATCCGTGGAAATAAAACAGGAGTGTCCAATTTATCTAGAGTATAATATAGCAAACATATTTACAGGAAGCTGCTTTTTATTACGGGAGACTTTAAATTCCTGTATTTTTCTCACAGTAAAAATTCAAAACAAGGTCCATGTTTATTTCCTCTTTTCCCTAACACTATTCATGCCAGCCCAGTAAATCTCTCAACTAGTCTCTGAGATTAAAACTAACAACCACCCTTGTCGCCTAGGTGAGATCAACAAGGCTCTTGAACGCCAACAAAACAGTAAAAGGCAGAGACACCAAAAGGGTTCCCTGTAAAGAAATGGACAAACATGGACTCAAGCAGACTGAGTGTAACTACGGAGAGCAACTAAAGAGCGAAAAGTGTCTAAGAAAAGAGAATATGTTAACGAATAAAAAACTTTTTTTGTACAGAGATATATTTTTATGGAAATACATTTGTAATATAAAAAAAAAAAATGGATTGACATATATGTAAATGTTTT